TCGCAGTTGGAAGGTTGCGAGTTCTAATCTGGCTCCGTGATTGGGCTCGGTCCATCACCCCTTCTCCAGGGTCAATAATGAAATGCGGGAGTCAACTTGTGGTAGCCCCGAGGGACGAACTCTCGTCTTTAAGGCTTGAACGAGGAACGTCCACCACTGGATGGGGACTACAAACAGGAAACGGGCAGCACAAATGGCTCAACATGGTGCTTCGAGAAGGAAAAAAAAATCACTTTTTATTTTAAGGGTCCACGAAGCTCCGCGATATTGACAAGCCAAGCTGGCGAGGAGAGTTATTTTCAAGTCACGAGGGTGGTCCATCTGTGAACAAGAGCTTTGTCTCGATTTAAAGCTTTCATGACTGCAGGGATTCATCTTCACGTGACTTTACCGAAAGAACCACGAACAAGAGCTGTGTCGCTCACCGGCTTCCTCCAGTATGAATGAATTAATCTGCTGAAGTTGCGCAGGCCACGAGCCTCGTCTCCCCACCGGGGGTCGAATCGCTCATCTCCGCTCCGACATCCGGCCGAACGTGGCTGCCGTCTTCCATCAATCTCAGCGCATCGTCGCAAGAGGCGGATAATTGTTTGTGTGTTGCCGCGTCCAGGGAACATTGCCGAGCCAATTGTTGGCGATGGAGTTCTTTCCTCGAATTTTTGAGCCGCAATTGACTCTCTCTCTCTCTCGCTCCCTCTCTCACGAAGGCCGATTACCTACCTGCCTTTTATCTCGATGTGGATTTGCTTTTTTGAAAATTATTCAAGAGATCAATGTTTACGCACATTCCTTTGAATAGTTTTTTTGTGTCCAAACGTACTTCCACGTCAACCGAACGCGTCTCTATTGCGTAGGCTTGTTGTGGTTTTCGCCGTAAAGCCCTTAGCAGCTCCTTCAGAATCATAATTTGTATTTATACTGGACGAATCCGACGGAGTTATAAAGCTCTTATCGACATATGTCCAGTAAAAGGTGTCGTGTCGAGAGCTTCTTCTGAGAGTTGAACGTGGGTCTCTTCACCTCGGCCAATCAGATTGAGTGACTCTTGCTTTTTACATTTCAGTGGCACCAACACCACACGCGCATCCGGGACTAGCCCCAGTAAACTAAGCTCAACTTTTAGCTCCTTTTCAGAAGCAGACCTAGCCACAAATGATAGCCCAAAGAAGTGGATTACCACGTGGAAATGTATCGCAGCCAAATACTCTAAACGTGGAGGGAAACCCCGGAGGAACCAGAGAAAATCCACGCGACCACGGGGAGAGACACACAAACTCCAAATATGCAGCAGGCGTCAGGGTCGAGATCGAAGCTACGACCTCCTGCATACCAGGCGAGGCAGTTAACATCTCGCCACCGCTCACAATCGGACCTGTTCCCCGAGGTTATTTAACCCAGGCAGCCCAGCGTGTACAGCTCAGCCAAAGGTTTCCTAGAGAGGAGACAATTGGCCAAAGTCCGATGCGAGCTGGGAGCCACGGCCCCCGTTATAGAACGTGACACACAATGGAAATCTGTTTTTCTTTATTTGGGGGTGGGGGGGAGGTACGTAATGTTACGAGATTACTCCACGCTATGAACGTCTGTGGACCAGGCGAATCTCTGGGGTCTTGAGCACCGAGCGGCCAAGCCAACCCAGACCAGCTCGGGGCTCACCACACCGAGGACCAACAAGCAAACAGGAACCGCGGGTAGCCTCGGTTACCAAGGCATTTGAAAATAAGTATAACCCGTAAAAACAAAGTTTTTCACTCTAAATCCTTTATATGCGTGGCGGCTAGAGTCCTCTCGTCCTCTGGCTTGAGATGGCTGCCACCTATGGGTCAGATGATTGTCTGCAGTATTACACAATTGGTAATTAAATATTAAAAAAATTTCCCTAAACAGTGTAAAATTTTGGAAAATGTTTTTCACGAATATTAATTGTCTCGCACAACGAGTCTGTGTGCAAAATGTCAGCTCGATTGGATCACGGGAAGTGGGTTTAAAAACGACCGAAAGGTTTGCACGGTCGTAAGCAAGCAAGCACGCAAGCAAGCAAGCAAGCACGCAAGCAAGCAAGCACGCAAGCAAGCAAGCGAACTTAATATAAAGGATTTAAAAAAGAGTTTCGTCCAATCGGAAAGCAGTGAAGAGATAACTCGTCAGATTAACACAGCACCCGCGGGATATTCTAGTCTGTCTACGCTGGAGCCTTGATCGAATACCTTGTATCACGTTCTCTCTCTCTCTCTCTCACCTGTCCGTGCATTGCTGGAGAAAAAACCACGCTTCGCTTGGGGGATTGAATGCAGCCCTGGGTGCGGAGGTCTCTACACGCTGACGGCCACCGCAGGCCACAAATCCATCCATGCCAGCGGGGACTCGTAGCGGTACTCAGCGGCTGATCGTCGTGGCAAGGAGTCGGCAGAAGTGGACGTTCGTTGACCCGTTGTATACTCTTTGGTTCTTTCGGTAAAGTCACGTAGGTATAAAAAGAAAACAAAATAAAAAAAAGGATTTTTATTTTAACAAATATTATTTTTTTATTTTGTTCCATTAAAAATAATTATGTTTATTTTGTTTTATTAAAAATAATTATCTTTATTTTTTTACCTACGTGACTTTACCGAAAGAACCAAAGAGTATGGATTCCTGCAGTCAGGAAAGCTTCAAATCAAGATTACCCGCTGAATGTTGAACTTCTTCCGAAAACGTACGTAGCTAACCGCGCTGATCGGAGGTACGGGAGGAGGTACACACGAAACACAAAACGCAGTTCTAAAGAAATTCGTTTTCAATGTATATTTTAAAGTGCATAGCCTCTAGTGGCTTCTTAATATTAGAAGGAAGAGCGTTCCACACGGCATTAAAAGCGCATCTGAAAGCGCGCGATGCTGTGACCGCCTTTGTTCGATTCCCAGCAAAAACCCGTCGCTGCTGCCAGAATGACCGCAGTTGGCGTGATGGGTTTTAGCTCCATGATCAGATCAGCGAGGTATTGTGGCTCGTGTGTGGCAAGCACTTCAACTCAGAGCTGCGTGTAATTTGTACATTGTCGTTATGACGTCCGCTTAGTCGTTTGACTGCCAGTGGACGAGACTGTGTACTCTGGGAATTACGAAAAAAAACCCACAAAAGTCACAAAAACAAATTTGTTAGAAGTACACGGCTATGAATATTTTACATCGAGAACGATCACGCGAGCCTTTTGTTTGAGTCTCGCGTCGCTAAGAGGAGAAGACAGACATGGCTTCAAGGCAGAATTTATTTTGCACAATGACAAAAAAACCATCTTTAAATGCAAATTGATATTTCACAGCTCAAGGAAGCCCACCCGACAGAAGCCCCCCCCCCGCCTCCAAGCCCCCCCCCACCCCTCCCCCTTTCACACCCCCACCCCCATCACCCCCCACACCCCAAAAGTCGGAATCTTATCTCTCTTCCAGAATGATCAGGAATGACCTCTCCAACTCTAAAACACGCGTTTAGATTATTTGACCGCTAGAAATCTCCACGCGATAAGTTCATTCGTTGAACTATCGTTTGTGGCCAGGTCGCTTCTGACAGATACGCAAATAAGCTCAAGTGCGCTTTACCTGATAAAATAAAAATACATAGTTTAATTTTATATAGATTACATAAAAGTCATTTACTTACCTCTCCTATGCACTCCCATCGTGTCTTTGTATTGTAACCTCTTGACCTCGCCCCTCCTGGACATCTGTGAAAAAGGGCTTCATAGCTCATCGGATTCCTCCAGTATAAATACATATTCCGATTCTATAATACGGACACACAAACAATGTGATGCTGCGTTGGCGGTGGTGCATACAAATAAATAACAAAATAAAAACTCGCATTTGTCAATAACACGGCCTCAATATATATAAGCATGTTAAGGGCATCATTTCGGCCAATGTTCTTTCGTCATTAGCTGAGATAGAGGCCATAGAAGATTGAGCGAATAATATTTGGAGACATTTCAACAATGCAATCCCAACCACGCTTGGGTCATCTTAAATCTACCAACGTCTTATCACGTAGGCCCTTGAAAAGCGACGGAGCCAATTTTAACGGCTTCGCCTATTTTCGAAGTCATTCAACAGTCTGGGGTCTTCGAAAATATTCCCCTTTGGTACTTTTTCTTGCAAAAGCTAGGCGTTTAAAACCTACATTTGTTTAAATCTACAAGCGTCGTATATTTAACCCGCTCGTAGAAGATGCACGCACACAACCTGAAGCGCGTGCATTTTTATTCCGTGTTAAAACAGCCAATGTAGCCTTGCGATGACCACGCATGGACTACAGCATGAATGTACAAGTAACCATTAACCGATTCTCGTACAAAAATGGCTCCTTGCGAGACGCAAAAAAAACCATTGGGTCGGTAATTAGAATTGGTTCCAGTAAGCCAGAAACTCCCAGAGAGACATTGGTCAAGAGCGGTCTGGAGATTCCTTGTATTGAAGCAATGCTGCCGATAAGATACACTCCCCACAAAAGGCTGCACGGCTGGATGTGCTGTGTAAGAAAACATTTCACGTGGAAACAAATATTTAAAAAGTGACGCTATCTACCGGCACACGCGACTCATTCCACGGTAACCTTTAACAAACACGTTATTTCTCCTCTCCGCGAAAGTTTCTATCAAAATGGCACGCATTCTTTATTTATTTGCGAACTGCAATATACAACTTCTCATTCATGCTCTTAAGGCAGAACCCGTCCGTCCCCCACCACCGCCGCCCCCACCCCTATCCTCCGGGGCGCCCTTCCATGCACGACCGCCAAAAAATCCATCGCGGCAGACGAAGCAGCGGTGTCGTCGCTCGGCCAGAGGTGTCAAGCGATGCGCGCGAGCACCCGGAAACACCGGGGAGGAGGCGTCTCCACGCTTGTAATCTTGAGAGGCTGCGTAGGCGGAGAGGGCTCGTGTACGACACCAATCCCTCCGTCACCCTCCGTGTGTGTGTGCGGAGGGGGGGGGGGGAGTTTATGGGGGGGGGGGGTGGGTGCGCTTCTGATAACCCCGCTCTCGAATGGGCGAAGTATAAAACTCGGGCGCTTCCACCAAAGCCGGACACAGACGGTGGAATCGGCTCCAGAGTCAGACTCCCAAAAGTGCGTAAGTATCTGGGTGGGGGGGGGGTATCTGGAAAAAAGATGTTGGTCGGGCGAAAGCCGCCACACCGCACCAAACCACCCCACCCGCCACCGTTTTCGTGGCTGTATTGCAAGCGAGACGCACTTTGAGCGGCTTTTGCCATCGGTGAAAAACTGTTGCAAATCGTGTTTTGTTTTAAATCTCTCTCTCTCTCTCGTATTTCTTTGGAGTTGCAGGTCGGCGTGGCACAAAGGGAGCGGCCGCCGGTTGACGTCGAGTCTGCGAACGCGTCGTGACCTCAGGTGAGAGAGCGACGCCGAGAAGCGGTGTGCGCAGTGGATTTCGGCGACGTGAACAGTTGTGCGATCAGGAGCACGTCGTTTTTTGCCAACGAAATGATGATCGCACGGGAGAGTGAAAGTAGCTGCGAATGATAACAATCTAAATATATATAACGCAGAGTACGAATGCAGACAAAATTCAAGTGCTCACCTCATGAATGTGTGGTCCGATTTGTTACGATTTCATCTTGGCTGGACTGTGGTAGCATTAAAGCCGTGATACATGACACGTCATTTGACTAAACCAAAAAATAGAGCGGGACCCGATTAACCTTAGATGTAAAACACACTATGCAGCATACGTGACCAAAGCATTTTTGCTAAAATGCGATTCATCTGAATGATTGGAATGGTCCTTTAGCAAAACGGACGGGCGATGTTAGATGGATGTGGCATTTCTACCACTGGCTCAGAGCCACCTCTTGTCGTCTTCTTGTCGCGTGGCTTCTGATGTAGACGCAGAGCGACGACTTACAATGTCACATTGAGGTGGTCAAGCCCAGATACCCGCATCGGGAGCAATGGAACGTATCGCCGCGATGTCTCCTTGACATTTGTGCATCGGGGCGTTGCGTCGTTATGCAAGTGGCACGGTCTGTTCTGGATGGCCACGGTCGCAACCACTGCTGAAGGAGTTCGTAATGTTCCATTCGTGCGTCGGGTATCCGCATGTGCAGGGGATGCGGTTTAGCGTGGACCGTGAGCTTCGTGGAAGATCAAAACGGCAGATTCGGGGCCACCAAAGAGAAAAGTGCCGCGTCTCACAGCTCCGTAACGTCAGAGAAGATGGCTGTGGGTTGGGAGGGAGCCGAGCCCCCCCCCCCCCAGCTGTAGGACTAGCCCCCCTCCCTCCTGAATCGTTACCGTCCGAGTCGTAACATGTTGCGTTCAATGCCTTCACACACAGCGGGTGAGAGCTATAGAGCCGGGGGCAGAATGCACGAGAGACGAAATCAAAATCACTCATTCTGTTGATCGTTTTTGTTTCGCATGGACTGTGTCGTGCCCCCCCCCCCTGAGTTTTGTAAGCCCCCCCCCCCTCCCCCAGTTAAACAAGGTCGCGCTATCGCAGGGTTGCCGCCTTGTTCTCATTCGAGGGGGGAAGACCACGCCGACTCTGCGGTGACACCGAAGGCGACGATGGTGATGCTGAACTCAATGTGAAGATGCGCTCTCCTCTCTCTCCACCATCCCTCCCCCCTCTCTCCACCACCACCACCATCACAGCCCCCCCCCCCTCCGTCAGCATGAATCATCTGCTGGCCTTGACCCTGGCCTCGCTGTGCGTGACCGCGACCCGGGGTCAGTCGTGCCAGGAGGAGTGCGGGACCTGCGACCACTTGGCACGCCAATCGGCCGCCTTCAGCTCTCTGGTACCCAGGGGCTGCCGCACACTCCACGTGCTGCCTTGCGCTCGATGCAGATTGCACACACACACACACGGTGCACACGCCAGACATTGGAAGACACAGATTCACCTGTAGCCCTACGAATGACGCGAACTCCGCTCACCCTCGCAGCAGCAGCAGCAGCAGCAGCGGCGGCGGCGGCCGTGGCTTTTGGCTGCTGGCCATCAAACAAAGGCGGTCACCGCATCGCGCGCGTTAAGATGCGCTTCTTCGGCCGTCTGGAACGCTCTTTCCTTTCCGATATTCGGAAGCCGCCCTGCAGCGATGCACTTTTAAAATATTGAAAACTCATTACTTGAGAACTGCTTCCGATTAAAACGGTTAGCTACGTAGGGTGCGAAAGAAATGTAACATACATTAAGTCTCGGCACGGTGCACGATTTGATGGTAGTGTGGCCAGAACCACGCCCGGCCGCCTTTGTCTCCCCAGCGCTGATGTTGTTTACAACCCGCACCAGGTATTCAGTTAAGGCTGAGTTCCCCTAGGGGTGGCCCACCGAGACCGATTCAACAATCAGCGACTCTGTGTTGGTCGTGAGTGGATCACCAACTCGGGTCGCCAAGTTCGTAGCGCAGCGCGCGGACCACTGCGCCACCACTCCCCACAAAAAGACAAAGAAAAACATCCCCCGTATAGCTTTAAACTGTTGGGGCAAGTGCCGTTAGTGAGGACCTCTGAAGGCCGGCACGGCACACGATGGGGTGGGTGGACAGCGCCACGCCCGTCCGCCTTTGTCTCCCCGGTGGCGATGTTTGCACACCGCACCAGGTACTCATTTGAGGCTGAGTCGACTTAGAGGAGGCTCAGGACCGGTTTAGATAATCATCACGGGTGTTGGACGTGAGCGGGAATCGAACTCGGGTCGGCAAGTTCGTAGCACAGCGCGCTAACCGCTACCCCACCACTCCCCATAACACAGACATATATTCACTTGTACAGGTAAAGTGCTGTATATATATCTTCACACACACACTACATGTGCACCCGACATTCTATTTTCAACATGCTGTGCACGATAACGAATTAACATGTACACGCACACACTAAATAGATCACTCACAGTACACTCTGTTTACATGAATAAGCTGTGCACACAAAAATAACAACTTGGCCGTTTAGCTTGCAAGTAAAAATGTATGCCGACCCGCCAAAGTGTTAGATAGATGACTGTGGTTGAGTGGACATAACGTAATCGTTCAAAAACGTTACATTAAAATCAACTTCTCTGGATAAATGCTTGAAGATTAACTACTGCGCCACTGCTCCACACAACCACATTACAGGAGGAATCGGTAGCAGAAGCATTACCACGAGGCTCCTGCCTGCACCACTCGCAACATCGAATCGATTTGTGTATTAGCCCGAGTGACGTTATTGACATCAATGATAAACACTTCCACTTCAAATATCATCATCAGTAGATGTGGCAACCAACGTTGCCTACACACTTTACGAATGCAAAATGTAATTTCAATCGTGTGTGTGTCAATCCGCTCCTGGATTAAGTCCTCCACACACCGTGCATGTGAGTAGGTGGTTGTTTAACCATACTTCACCACGCTGGTCAATGCGGGTTGGTGCAGGTTGGGTATGCAGGACTGGTTGAGATATCGCTCGCCATTCGAGCTGGCCTGGGCCCGGGGATCGAACCCGGGTGGTTTTTCTTGTTTGGTTCACAGTGCGTCACACCAAGCACTGCTGCTCCACCGCTTCTTGGTTCCTTCGGTAAAGTCACGTAGAATGGAAATAATAAAATAATAAAAGTAAAACATAATAAAATAATTCTCACGACGTTTCGGCCACAACGCAAGCAGCCGTCCTCAGGTGAAGAATAGGTCTGTCGAGAAGACAGAGTCTGAATGAAATAACCCCAGGCTTGGAGCGTTGTTTCATTCAGACTCTGTCTTGTCGACAGACCTATTCTTCACCTGAGGACGGCTGCTTGCGTTGTGGCCGAAACGTCGTGAGAATTATTTTATGTTTTATTTTTATTATTTTATTATTTCCATTCTACGTGACTTTACCGAAAGAACCAAGAAGATGAATCCCTGCAGTCACGAAAGCTTTAAATCGCTCTCAACAAATCATGGCGCACTTTTATTTACCCACGAAAGCTTCAGCGAGTCTCGAGGCTTTTGCTGTTTTTTCCGCCCCTACCCGTTGGGTCCTGCATTGGGATTGTTTGGCGACAACTGGAAAATCCCGGGGAGAGACTCACGCAATACCCATGGCAGTGGTGGGGGGGGGGGGTAACACTCACAGCTGCACACAAGATCGATTAAACCTACAGACAGACGCACTACATCGGCTCTGTGTTGATATCACCTGGCCACCTCGCAGGTCCATGTCTATAAACACCTGGCAAGCCTCGGAGGGTTCATCTTTCCAAGCACTAACCAGACTGAACCCTTATTAGCTTCCAATATCCGACTATAAATCGGGCGCACGCAGCGTGGCTGAAATTCCACATCCATGTGGTCGTAGGCAAGGTTCAGTCGGCTAGGGGAGGAGGGCTGACGGCGCTAGGGGTATATTTCGTGGTGGGGAGCGGTGGCGGTGGTTAGCGGAGCGGCGCTACAAGCCCGGCCACTCGAATTCGAGTCCCGCTAACAGCCAACGTCAGTGACGATTATTTGAACCGGTCCAGAGACTCCCCTAGGTCGACTCAGCCACAACGTATTACCTGGTGCGATACGTAAACATCGCCAATTGCGAGACAAAGGCTGCCGGGCGCGGTGTTGGTCACCAACCTCCTCGTGTGCCGCGCTGACTCGCGCACAGCACTTGCCTCAACAAGACGCCTAAGGCTATACGGGAGACCTTTATCTTTGTGTTGGTGACAACATGCTGGTGATAAGGATAATATCCACAGACCAATGGTCATAGATTATTGATTTCACACATTTTCAGTAGGGAGGGGGTGGGGGGACACTTTCGCTGATAAGACATCAGTGCCACCGCAAATGTGAAACCATTGGGGGGGTTTGACAGCAGCACAACGACGACAACGATGACAATGATGACGCGGTGTGTTCACGTGTTGTGTCTTGTTGGGGGCCGCACTAAAATCCACCAGGAGCCGCCAGTGACCCGCGCGAGCCTTGCAACGAAGAACACCGTCTTGACATTGTCACATCATCGCCACGACTCCCCCCCCCCGACCCGCCTCCGCAGGTGTGCATCTTGGAGTGCGAGGGCTCCGTCTCATCTTCCAGCACCTGGAGGTGGTGCCGCGAGGCCGTGCACGTGCTGACCACTCGCGACGCGGCGCTCGCTCACGCCCTGCGCGCCAGGGGGGCTCGCGGGGGCAGTGTCGAAGGGGAGCCGACAATCCCCGTCGCAGGGACCGGCGGCATCGTGAAGCGTTACGGGGGCTTCATGAGAAAGGGCAAGAAGCTCTACTCTGCGTCCAGCAAGGCCGCCAACGACAAGCGCTTCTCCGTCTTCTCGGAGCGAGACGGAGACGACCTCCAGAAGATGGAGGAGGTCATGGACGCGGCGCTGGGAGATCTGCAAGCGGTGTCGGCGGCGGCGTCGGCGGCGGGGGGAGGGAACGCCGCTGGAGCCGAGGCGAACGGAGCTCTGGTCGAGTCGAAGCGCTACGGCGGCTTCTTCCGTCGTCAGAGAAGCGACGACGACGACGAGCAGCAGCAGCAGCAGGAGGAGGAGGAGGCTGCTGCGGAGGATGACGGCGAAGACGGAGGAGAGGGGAACGCCAACAGCAGCAGCAGCAGCAGCGGCGGCGTCGTCGTCGTGAGCGACGCGGCCGCCGAGGGCACGGGCCGCCGGCACGAGGTGGAGAAGCGCTACGGGGGCTTCATGCGGCGGCTGGGCAGGCCCTCGAAGAAAGAGGGCGGCCGCTACAAATCAATCCTCCGCCAGTACATGGATCTGCAGGAGCCCGGTGGAGGCGTCACCAGCGAGGAGCTCACCGAAGAAGAAGACCTTCTGCAGCAGCAGCGCCTCCGCCACCACCACCAGCAGCAGCTGGATGAAGATGACAAAAAGAGATACGTGGGCTTTGCGCTGAGCTGAACGCACCGGCACAACCAAGCCGACCGTGCATTTGAAGCCGCGTCCGTCTGGAAAGCGCTGCGCTTACCCCCCACCCCGCCCCCTCTCTCTCTCTATCAATGTGCTCGTCTCAAGCCGCTAATAAAAAATATACGACGACGATGATGATGATGTACCCCCCACCAAATAAACCCCCCATCCCTTTCCTCCACCCACCCACTCCGGTGTGAGATTACTTCATGTAGGCGTCGAGGGAAGATTCCTTGCGAGATGTAACGAGATAATCATGTTATTTTTGCATTGACCTGTGATGGCATATATAGCTTAGGTGTTGATCAATGTTGAATAAAATCTATATCAGAAGTGTGCAGCATACCTGAGCGCCTGCGTTGTATAGTATTACGGATTGCAATACGTCATGTCGTCGTCGATGCAGGCTCATGTGCGGACTTTGCAGTTCTGTGTCGCCTTATACTAAAGACATTGTCAACGTACACTTTGGATTTTTCGGTAAAGTCACGTAGGTAAAAAATATAAAAGAAAAGAAAAATGAAAAAACAACTAAATTGTTTTCATTTATAAAAGAAAAAAGAAATGAAAAAACAAATAAATTGTTTTCATTTATTTTTTATTTTTTTATATATATTTTTAACCTACGTGACTTTACCGAAAAAACCAAAGAGTATGCATCCTTGCAGTCACGAAAAATTCAAAGCTAGAACATTGTCAACGGAAAATCACACGGCGATCCACTTATAGATACCCCACTATACGGTGAGCAACGTTTTCACTTCACTAAATCCTCTAACGCTCTTCGTACTGTAGGGACACGGTCCGCCTGTAGGATCGGACTGTAGGGGAACAGAGGGACGATAGGGGTTGCTCGTTCGCCTCTCCCATCGTGGCCAGCAGTGTGGCGGGATAGTGGGATCGAGTTGATCCTATAGTCTGCGACTCGCCCCTATAAGACCGCTCTCTGGCCCACCTCTGGGTAAAGAGATTACCAAAGTAGGCATTTTTTGTGTTTGCATGTTCAGCACAGGTACCGCGTGTGGTTAATGCAGACGCAATTACTTGCAAAAACAATAATTATTGCCAGAAAGGGTAAAAACATTCTAAGTTTTTCACAAGTGATAGATTGTTTGGCGACGCTGTCTGCGTAGAAAAGTGAAGTTACCAAAAAGTCACGTTAAACAACTGTAGCCTTAAACAGGGGGTGGGGGAGACATATATTCAACGGGCGACGTTTCGGGCGACGGCCCGAAACGTCGCCCGTTGAATGTTGAGGGGTTTTTTTTATTTATGAAGAACCCAAGGGGGCGGTCGGGAATTAGTGTGGTATCTGCAAATGGATCACCGCGTACATCATCCACCAGAGTGAGACACCACGTGGTAGCATCGCGTCATCACACGCACACACACGCGCACTTGGCTTCTGTTCGAGTTGACAATGAACGCCACAAATGTCAGGCAAATCGACGTAAATACACCTGTGTTCTTGCTGTTGTGACGGACAAAATAAAATATACAAAAAATAGAGAGATTGCGTGTGACTTTGTCTGATACTCTTGGGTTTTTTCGGTAAAGTCACGTAGGTAAAAAAATAAAATTAAAAATTACTAAAAGTAATAATCAGCATCACGATGAAGTAATTTTAGCTGTGACGGTCCCACCTGATGACGGAGACTTGTGTTGCCTCCGAAACGTCGTGATTTATTATTTTATTTCTATTATTACTTTTACTAATTTTAATTTTATTTTTTTACCTACGTTACTTTACCGAAAAAACCTAAGAGTATGAATCCTTGCAGTCCCGAAAGCTTCAAATCTAGGACTTTGTCTGATGTTGATATCATCGAGACCAGCTCCCCGCGGTGTGGTGTGTGTGTGTCCGGCTTCTCCCGCGCGCGGTATGACCCCGAAAAACACAGCAGGGGCGCGAAAACGAGGGACAGAGAAACAACACAACCTCACCCCCATCCCCCCACTTCAGTGATGCATGCACCGCGTGTGCTGGAAATAAACAATGCCCACATGCGGACCATCCCGACGAGTGCGGGTAGCAGTGGAGCCTGGACAACACCAACAACAACAACAGCAACAACAACAACAGCAACAAAAATCGCCACATCTGCGACGAAGTTTTTTTCTAAGAGTCGAACTAAAAAAAAATGCCTGCATTTTTTTAAAGCGATTTGAGTTTGGAGTAAATGATAATAATAACAAAAACCCGTTGGAGGAGTACTCTTGGGTTTTTTCGGTAAAGTCACGTAGGTAAAAAATAATAACAATAAAAATACTAGAAAAAATAATAGAAATAAAATAATAAATCACGACGTTTCGGGCGCAACACAAGCGTCCGTCATCAGGTGGGACAACCACAGCAAGAAACACTTTTTTACTGATTGGCCGTGTCGGGTGGTGGAGGGTTACGACACATTTATAAATAACGCGATCTAACCCAAAAACGTGTATTACGGACATATTACACCTCTACGCGTTTCAAAAACCCACACCTTACATTCGATCCCCTTTAGAGTGCCTGCCTTCACTCCGGCTAAGAGAGGACCGACTCCAGGAGAGGACTGTAGTCGTGAGACGAGACGGCATGAGCAAGAGATCAGTGAAGAAGAGCTTCATAGCTCATCGGATTCCTCCTCGAGTATAAATAGAGATTCAGATTCTGACAGCGCATTGCAACTCCTATCGTGGGTGCCGTCTTGCTTCCATAGTCCGATCCTACAGGCTGACCGCATCCCTAAAGCCCGATCCTACAGCATAATCGCATTCCTGCAGTCCCCTATCGATAGGCGGATCTCATTCCACGAGACTCCATGCGTGAGACGGGACTCACGGGACCGTATGGGGTGAGATCAGCCTGGAGGATCGGACCGCAGGGTGCTTAAATCGAGTAACAGGTTCGGAGAGCCCAACTCCAACACCGCTCAAACGCCAAGTCTGATATGCCCAGGTAAGTACATCTATAACACGCCGTTCGTGATTGGTGGGAAGATTTCAAACCGATACCGTATTTTCCGGATTATAATTCGCTCCGGATAGTAAGACGGATCCCAAACCCGTGCCCGGTGTGACACCCACACACACGAATCAACCGCATTCTTATATATTCCGGAGACTATAGAGGAGCATGCGATTATCAGCTGTTCGGTAATAACAAATAAACAACGTTTACTCGCATTCAAAAACTGCCATGATCACAACGAGACTCCCTGCTGCGATTGGCTGAGCAACATTGAAACCTTGCTCCGATTAGCACGGTTTGCTACGTGCGGTGCAAAAGAAGTTCGACACACACACGCATCCTTAATACGCAGCTCTTTCGATTTAAAGCTTTCGTGACTGCAGGAATTCATCTTCTTAGTTCTTTCGGTAAAGTCACGTAGAAGGGAAGTAATAAAATAATAAAAATAAAACATAATAAAATAATTCTCACGACGTTTCTTCACCTGAGGACGGCTGCTTGCGTTGTGGCCGAAACGGCGTGAGAATTATTTTATTATGTTTCTTTTTATTATTTTATTACTTCCCTTCTACGTGACTTTACCGAAAGAACCAAAAAGATACGCAGCTCTTGTTCAGTCCATGCCTCCCCCCTTGACAACGATGATGATGACGCGTGAATGGACATTTAAAGTCTCAGGCAGTGTGCGGCGACTCGGGTGACGACCCAGAGCCGAATCGTGGAGCACAGAAGCGACTCAATTCCTCGCTCACAGACAACGACGGAGGAGGAGGAGGCATCATCACAGCGATGCTGCCCCCGATGTAAAATGTACAGCTAAAATTACTCGACATCCATCATCAACATAAGGCTTATGTTGATGATGGCGAATTGCCCGATCATGCTGGATGTAATTAACAGCGAAACGTCGTACTCAAAAACTATAAATTTTGTGAATTCACTCTTAAACACACCGGTGGGCTAAAGTAGTGAACTATTTGTCTTTTGTCAACGTGACACTTTTTTGCTGATTGGCCGTGTCGGGTGGTGGAGGGTTACGACACATTAATAAATAACGCGATCTAACTCAAAAAACGTTTATTATGAATAATATTGGTCGCGAAAGCCTTCGCGTTAAACTTACGTTGATGATGATGATTGTTGTGACGGATGGAACGTAACTGCACAAAGATAGGCGGGAGCGAAAACCACGAAACCGAGCCGAACAGAGACGGTAAAGACAGCAAACCCATCGCGACAATTGGCAGATTCAATTGTCGAGTATCAGGGCGAAGTTCTTTTAATCCGTGACGCCCTCCCCGACTACCAGAAGCCGGAACGCGCCACCTCGTGGCTGCAGCGAGCATCCTCCTCCACCTCCACTCGCCTCTCTCCCCTCGGCTCAAGTTTCACGCGTAGGCTCCACCATCACTTGCACACCCCCCCCCCCCCGACACGCCGTAGCGTGCTCCCCACTAACAAAGCCACGCTCTGGTCACGGGGGCAGAAACAAAGATCCCCCGTATAGCCTTTACAAACCTCTGGGGCAAGTGCTGCTAGCGAGCACTTATTAAAATAAAAAGGTCGGCACGGCACACGAGGGGGTGCGGTGACCAGCACCACGCCCATCCGCCTTTGTTTCCCCTCGCGGCGACGTTTACACACCGCACATTTGAGGCCGAGTCGACCTAGGGGGAGGGCCTAGGGACTGGTTAAAAAAAGTCGTCATTGGGTGTCGGTGACCACGAGCGGGAATCGAACTCAGCTCGCCGTGTTCGTTTCGCAGCGTGCCGACCACGGGTTCATCATCACCATCAGCAGCTACGATCGACTCATTTAAAGAGACACACTCTCTCTCGTTACATCCCTTCGGATGCTGCCGTGGTGTCATGGCCAGCGCACCGGACTTGCAACGCAGAGGGTTATCGGTTCGACGCGATGTCCCCGATGCGGCAGACGAAAACAATTTGCGCCACAAATGGACACTGCACCACACCGAGTCGATTGGAGGGTCGCGTGCAGTTTTGGGACAACGCGTGGGGTTATTCCCACCTGTTTCAAACGTCGTCTGGCCAGCTTGGACGAGCAGACCAAATTACCACGAGGGAGGGCCTCTCCAAAGCTCCCTCAATCTAACAATTAGTTTCATAACGAGTCGTCCGTTCGTGCAATTTGCGTCTCCCACAATCGCCGAGTAGGAACCACACACAGAGCCAAGCTGGAAGGCTGCCAGGAGCGATTGCTCCGCAGTTCTCTACACCTAAAGATGTTCTCAGCCGACCAGTGACGAGTGTGTATCACGAACGAGGGAGGAAAGCGGGAGAACCCGGAGATAACCGACGCACGCGAGGGAGCAACGCTCTATCCCGTACAGAACTGGCGGATCGCATCAGTCCACGCCGTGCTCTACCGCATTCTGCCTGCGTGCCAGGGTACGGCGCCTCCTCGGTGCCCGCGCTGAAGGGAGTCTCACGACCTCGTTCAATCTGTCCGATCCTCCAAACCCTCGCCGCTACCTCCACAGCAACGCCGGGTAACCGGCCACGTGCAGTGCCACCGCAGCTCCGGCGTGAGCAAAGCGATGAGAAGAAGGCGCCTCTCGCTTGTGACCGTGCCGTGCTGTGCCTCGCGGGTCACTTCGGGTTGCTGAGAGAGGCAGGCGGTCAGGCAGGACCGGTTCGGTTATTTTCGCTCACCGCTGACGGTAGCCGTGACTGGGAATCGAACTCGGGTGGGCGGGTCCTTCGGCCTTCGCGCAGCGCGCTACGCACCGCACCGGCGTCGTTCGCAAGTGGATCAATTGCGGGGTCCTAATTGGATGCCATAAATAAAACCACCCCCATCCAACCCTCCACAATGAAAACAACTACTCTGTGATTATTGTATTTGTATTTTTATTTTATTTCACTTTATTTTATTCACTTTAATTTTTTATAAAAAAATTCTATCTACGTGACTTTACCGAAATAATCAAAGAATAGACTCGTGAGTGTCCAGCCCATTGAGCAATTATAAATCAAGGGATCACGTGGCACACCGCGCTCGCCCTTTCACAGGTGAAGCGGGCAGTATTCACAATGCCTCGACCTTGAGCACGCAAAGCACGTGGCCTCAACCCCATCCGCAGGTAATTGCGGATTACGATTCGTGCGCTGCGGAAGACATCCACTGCACGGGTGTCTCGGGAGAGGAGGCATTACCCCACTTGTACAAATACAGAGATTTATGTATTCGTATATATATATGGATGTGTGAATATTTGCACCTGGTCTTAGGTCAGAATTTTTTTTTTTTCAGGGAGGTGAAAACGCTCTCGGTGTAATGCATATTGTAAATCATTTGCGCTTTATTACATGGGAATCCATAATCTCACGCAGACACCCAGAGACTCAGGCAGAGACTCACAGACTCACACGGACACCCACAAACTCAGAAAAACTCGTATTCCCACAAAGACCCATAGTCTCACACATAGACTCGGACTCACACAGAGACCCATAATCTCACGCAGACACCCAGAGACTCGGGCAGAGACCCACATACTCACACGGACACCCACATACTCAGAGAAACTCACATTCCCACAGAGACCCATAGTCTCACACAGATACTCGGACTCACGTGAAGACCTACAGACACACGCAGAGACCCATAATCTCACGCGGACACCCAGAGACTCGGGCAGAGACCCACAGACTTACACGGACACCCACATACTCAGAGAAACTTACATTCCCACAGTGACCCATAGTCTCACACAGAGACTCGGACTCACGCGAAGACCCACAGACTCACGCAGAGACCCCGCTGAGAAACTGCCATTCGCCGGCACAGTGGCTTCACCAGCAGCGCAGGAGCAGTTCAGGTATCGATCGCTACCGATGTTGATCGTTGTGTGATCGCGGGAACTGAACTCGGGTCGCCCGGGTTTAAAGCCCAGACGCGCTGACCCCCTTCGCCACCACTCACTCCACCCTCGATTGCCACGCGGACACATTTTGCGGTATTCCAATTCTCAAGGTAGTGGTACTCGTGGCCGCGTCGTTTTCTTCTTCGGCAAGGCGGTGGTGCTCTGCTTATTTGCCGCGCCTAGCGGACGGCGACAGCCAAACACACTCGGGGACGACGGCTGCGAGCAGAGCGCGCGCGCGACAGAGTGACGATGGCTACGATGATGACGATGATGATGATGGACGCATGCCGTGCAGTCGAAGACGCTCGTAAAGAGACAGAGGCAATGAGCTCAAGGGGTAGCCATCCGCGTGTCGTCATCATAGACTTTATTCCTCTTTACGATGATAGATAATTGAGTGACCGATTAGCGTCAGCGTGGGGATCGTGTCGGCGTGGGGTGTTGGCTGTTGCTGCTGCTGCTGCTTGTCATATACTCTGCAAACTCGGTTCTGTGTGCGCTCTTGTGGATTGTAAAACACACAGAGAAGAAGAAGAATGCATATGCCGTGTGGCGGGCGGGTGAAATGACGACACGGACACGTGTTTATGGATCAAGGCCGACAGTGGTGAACACCACAAGAGTTGCCGCGGCAAGGCGATATACCACGAAACACGGCACATCATCCGATGTCAGATCCACAACAGCAGCCTGGCAAATCGCGTGCTCCGTTTTTTTTTCTCTCTTCTTAAATACAATCGCGAAACGTGGCCGCTCGAAGGTGGCTCGCTCGTGAAGTGTTTTCTTTACCCGACAAACACGTCTGCTCATTAAACCAACTACCTCTGTGCGCACTTGTTTAAACACATCGCTCGAAGCCAATTGCGATTCTAGTTTATTTGCAATTTTTTTTACCGGAGTAGTTGATGGCTCGGCGGTTATAACGCGCCATCGTCTGCATATCTCTTGCAATTACTCGATCAGCATACATTCATGCAACATATTATTTTGGGTTAGATCGCGTAAATATATCAATGTGTCGGGACAACCACAGCAAGAAACAATTGCTGAAGTGGGCTTGTGTTGCGCCCGAAACGTCGTGAGTTAATTTATTTTATTTAATACCTACGTGACTTTACCGAAAGAACCAAAGAGTATGGATCCCTGCAGTGACGAAAGCTTAAAATCTAGATATAAATGTGTCGTTAAACCCGCCACTACCCGACATCAGTTACTACTGGCCAAGACTAATTAGAGAATACATCGAAATTGAAAGAAATATCAATAATCTTAATTTTAGAACTTTCGTGACTGCAGGAATTATTATTTGGTTCTTTCGGTTAAGTCACGTCTAAAGATAAAATAATAAATTAAATTAAATAATAGCATACGACGTTTCGATTGCAACACAAGCAATCATCATCAGGTATAATGAAATAGCCTGTGTCTTCTCTTTGGAATGTTCACACCCAAACTCTAACTTAGCAATCTTTGAAATACGTAATCAACCAGGCCATGCGCCAACCGTGTGTTGACCGACCCTCTGTGTTGTACTACATTACACTTCGACACTCTACCAGGCTATTGTACTTGAGTTTGTCCCTCTCCCGATTTTCAGACCTGTGCGCGTAAGAATTATTTCTTTACATTCTTAATTTTAGAACTTTCGTGACTGCAGGAATTATTATTTGGTTCTTTCGGTTAAGTCACGTCTAAAGATAAAATAGTGGATTGAATTGAATGATAGCATACGACGTTTTGATTGCAACACAAGCAATCATCATCAGGTGTAATGAGGTAGCGACGTAGAGTCTGGCCAGAAAACTGTGGACGGACATATTAGCAGACAGATGTCACCGGGATGCATGGAGGGAGCAACACGGGTAACGGAGAGGGGTGATCATCTCTGTGGGGTGGCCTTGGATAGACAGAGGGGGGAGGAGGCAGAGAGAGGGAGGGGGTTGGAGTGGGCATTTGCATATCAATGAGTGGTCAGGGAACGGGGTTCTGCGGGTGCGATGGCACGGCGGGCAAGTACAATAGCCTGGTAGAGTGTCGAAGTGTAATGTAGTACAACACAGAGGGTCGGTCAACACACGGTTGGCGCATGGCCTGGTTGATTACGTATTTCAAAGATTGCTAAGTTAGAGTTTGGGTGTGAACATTCCAAAGAGAAGACACAGGCTATTTCATTATACCTGATGATGATTGCTTGTGTTGCAATCGAAACGTCGTATACTATTATTTAATTTAATTTATTCTTTTATCTTTAGACGTGACTTAACCGAAAGAACCAAATAATAAATATCAATAATTTTAACCGTTCGGATAGCTACCGACTTACTGCCGCGTGGAAGTGAATCATCAAATAATACATTGTTTAAATGCATGTCTATACAGAGCACCATACTTCAATAGGTGATTACCGTTGTTGGTATGGCTATTTTTGTAAACGCAATGCACAAGAAGTATGAGATCGATGGGCACGCATAATGCGCATACTTGGTGTACGTTGATTCATGAATCCTCCCCCACTTTGCGCAAGAAGAGAGCACAGGTGTTGTAATCACATCTACGCCGCGATGTAAGGAACGAAACAGGTGGACTTCTCCACAAATCTGGCTGTCGCCTGATGAAGCTGGTTGTAATTACTGGCGAAACGTCGTACTCAGATTGTAAATGTTGTGGCGCCTGATGAAGCTAGTTGTAATTACTGGCGAAACGTCGTACTCAGATTGTAAATGTTGTGGCTTGGCTCTCCAACACACCGATATGCTGTACTAGTGACGAATTGGCATGTTCTGTTTACGTGACAAACCTGACTAATCGGCTCTGTCGGGTGGTGGAGGGTTTAACGACACATCTATATATTTACGCGATCTAACACAAAACACCTGTATTATGGATGATATTGGTCGCGAAAGCCTACGTGTTAAAATGCGGGCATTGTTGAACTGACAGCACGTGCGTTTTAGATTGTAAACGTTGCGGTGGTTAACGAATGGGGTTTGCTACTCGTGGCAAGGGATTGATAATATTGCGCGAACTGCAGTTGCTAAACCCTAACGAGTAGCCCTGCAATCGTTACCGGACTGTCGAAAGCACGAACGAGTCAACGGCAATGCCGCAACGCTCGTGAAATACTTTGACGATGAGGTTTTGTGGGAAGTCGACATCGCGATACTCATCACATCGTGAACAGTAATGTGGCATCGCGTCGTGGCGAAAGATTCTACGCGGCGACCCCCCCGGTAGAAATAACTGAATCGAGACACGAATTCACCAAAACGCCAAGGGGCTAGCTAGCGCTCGTTCACCATGACATTTCTCAAGAACTTCAGCAACGTTTTCTTGTCACACATCTCCGCCGGATTCATGAAGCCCCCGTAGCGTTTCTTCTCCGCGTGGTCGAAATCTCGCATCTCAGCCTCGACCACCTCCAGATCCTCCTGACCCTCACCCTCCTGATCCTGCTGCTGCTGCTGTTGCAGATCCCCTTTCCACTGCTGCTGTTGCTGCTGTTGCTGCTGCAACGGGTAGACGTCCCAAGGTGTCCCCAGATTCCCCTGCAGCTCACGTCGCTGCGCTTGCCCCGGGACCTCGGCGCCGTCATCCGCCTGCGCGCGCTCTCCTCCGACCCTGCGCGGTGCCCTTCATGGGACGCCGCTTCTTGCCGTGCTTGACACCCCACCGGAAGTGCTGCACCGTGTACGGCTTCGGCACCGTGGCGCCTCTCCTGCGGACAGCCTCGAGATCCGGCAGGGAGGAGGAGGATGACGCGCCGCTCAGGAAGCGCTCCAGAAGGTGCCCCAGCAACAGGTGCTCCAGCGAGCCGGAGGGCGACGCGGCTGGGTCAGTGATGGCCTCGTCGCACGCGTACACGTAGGCCTGCCGGGGCAATGACGCACAGTGAGTCGTGAGCCCACGTCAGAGGTCGCAACCGGGTACCCGATACCCGTACCCGTTTGCGACCCTAGTGCGGCCGGGTACGGGTAGACCGTGAGTCACTGGTGAGTCACCGTTTGTCACTCATTTCCCAACGTCTTGTCTCTTCTCACAATTCAAGTTCCTAGAATCAACCCACCCGCGCCTGCAACATGGCTTCATCCCAGAGGTCGCAATCGGATACTCGTACCCGTACCCTACCCGATACCCGACCGGGTACGGGTAGCCGGGTATCGGGTAGGGTACGGGTATACGTTTTCGACCCTGGTGCGGCTGGGTACAGGTAAGGAATCAAAACCCGTTAGCGACCTCTGGCCCACGTGCGACTGGTTTACAGTACCCATTGAACACCGCTCGTGGAGAAATGTTGCAACTCTCATTTCAGCCCCCCGTGGTGTCAAACGTAGAGTCTGTAACTGTTATTATGACGAAGCACTCTTTGTCTCTGGCGTCTCTATATATGTACTGCATGTGTGTGTGTGTGCTGTGAAGAAGCGTCATTGCCTGAAACGTCGCCCGTTATACTTTACATATTTTAAGGCAGCAGTTATTATTATTATTATTGGCCAATGTGTAACGTGGTTTTTGTTTATGGAGCTGTCCCGAGGCTGAACTCCGGATAATATAACCCGAGGACTTAATCCCGAGTCACACTCCTATGAAGATTTTATTTTTTTGGGAGTGCTGCATAATCGTCTGATGAGTTTTATGGTTGCACCCATGGGCTGCCACCCGTCCCCGGTTTGATCTTGTCTGGGTGTCACCCCGACAGTTCGGTTAATTATAATCGGCGTCTGCGTTCTGGCGGCTAGGAATTTGATCGTCTTGCAGGATACCTGCACGAGTTTGGGCAAATTGCGTGCGGCTCTTTGAGGACTGCTGCTTCGTGACGTCACCTTCGGGCCGCCGTGCATTGTGGCTCTTGAAATATTGAGAGAGGGTTTCTTTTTGTTATCAAAGTCGAATAAACAAAAATCGTCTCTTCTTGTTATGTTAATTTGCCGTCGCCCGAGCGCGAGACTGATGGAGAGACCCGTCTGTGGTTTGGTCTCCGGACGAGGTGATAACCCCGAGTTGCAGCGCGCACTATCGTCCGGCGCTATGTCCGACGTTTCGCTCCACGTGCCGGGTGAACTTCTTCGCGACACTTTAACCGCTCGTCGGCTTCCTCCGGTATACACACGGATTCCGATACTTAGCCTGCTCCTACTCCTACTGCTGCTGCTGCTGCGAGCGTCGTGCTTGCGAGCGACAGCTGCTGCCACTGCGGTGCCGCTACGTACCTGCGTCCCTGGCAGCGCACCCGTGATCCTTGCGGGGGGTCGTCGGCACGGCTCCCCGAGGAGGGGGGCCCCGCGGCACGGCCCGGGTGCCAGCGCGGACAGCGCCGCGCACACGGACAGCACGAGCAGCGGCAGCGGCGAGCGCATGGCTGCGTCGCGGGGTGGGGGGGTGGGGGGGCACAGAGTGGGGCGCCTTACTGCTGGGGGGGGGGGGCAGAGGTGGGGAGTAGAGGGGGGGTCAAACAGTTTATGAATGGGTTTGGAATTTCGTGACCAATATTATTCATAAAAGAGTTGTGTTGGGTTATAGCAAGTAAATATTGGAGCGAGTTTCATTGCCCTCACCCTTCACCTGGGTGGGGCAGCGAGCCCAGTTCTCCCCCTTCAATCAGCCCTGCCGTGCCGAACCCGTGCTGTTGCTGTTCGCGGAGTTTCTGACACTATTACGAGCACTTTCACTGACTCTGACCCTGAGCAATTAGCCAAGCAGCCACCAGTGTCAACCCTGCCACTAACTACCCAACCAGCTACTCGAACTCACCCAATCCCTAAAACCCTGAACAATTAGCGGACCCGTCACTGGTAATCTCCCTACCACCGACCAAAACTGTAATCAACCACTCGTGCTGAACCTTTCATTCAACATCGCCCGATATACTTCGCCTTTCAGCCACTCGTGTTTTCTTTCACGCTGACCCTACCCGCACCCCCGATTAGCACGGTTGGCTACGTACGGTGCGAAAGAAGTTCAACATACGTAAGCACGTACCCCCCCCCGCACCCGCCTCACCTCTCACGAGACATTTTAAATTTGATAAATTATTACTTATGAACATTTTGTCAGTAAACACGTGACTTCTTTCATATACAATATGCGACAATATTCAATCGATATATAAGGATATTTTACACAACGTGACGATGCAATTATCGTGTAACTTATATCGTGTGATTTTTCCTGGAATTTGCAACAATACCACAAGAAACCACCTGGAGAAGATTCCAGGCACGCGTCGACAACGATGGCGAACAAGTGGAGAGACTCTTTGACCTTTTGAAGCTATAAAATACATTTGTTATCACGTCGCAATGTATTATCCGCTATTTTTCCATTAAAAACGATAGTCCCATATAAGTGTTGACATTTTTTTGAAGCACCCCGTATAACCCATAAATCCTTTACGTCTCTGTCCGTTCACGTAAACAACAAGAAGAGCATTTCGTCTCACCCATCCCATCAGCCGCGCGGCTTTCCGGCAGCATTCGCTCAACGCAAACACAACTCTGGACAGATTTAGACATTTGGTGTCAGACTTGGCTCGAACCGACAATGCACAGACGAAGGGGCCCTCTCTGTCAAGGATTGACATCGCGGGATCGTGGGACGTGACCAAGGCTTAGCGTGGGAGCGCTTCATCCAGCAGTGGAGTGATGGTGGCCGATGGTGTGGGAGCTGAAGGGCTTTCATCCAGCAGTGGAGCGATGGTGGCCGATGGTGATGATCCGTATGGCGGCCGCGCTTGGTCGTTACGAACGCGGATGGTGGGGGGCTGGGGACGGGTGGCGATGCGGCGCGGATTGGGGGGCCACTCACCTGGATTCACGTGCAGAGCGCGCGCCGGCTGCAATAGACCCACAAGTATCCGTCCACGCCGCTCGTTTGGGGACTTTTATAGTTGACAAAGGTGGAGGAGGAGGAGGGGGGGGGGGGGGGTGTGCTGTAGAGATTGGGGGGGGGGGTAGTGGTGGTGGAGCGGGGGGGGTCCACATTAATGGAATTGCGTCGGCGCTTGGGCCACAACCCCCCCCCCCCCGCCGGCCCCCACCTCGCCTCCAGCGTGCGCACGTTCCACATCGTGGCGGCGATGCGATTCGTGCGATTTCACGCCGAGATGTCCTCAATTGGGTCATTTTTTTACTTAACATTCCATTCGGAGGTGCGAGACGCGCCGCGCACTATCAGCTCGGGGGGGGGCGGGGGGGGGCCTTGTGTCAACAAGTCGAATGCAATGAACAAATGGGTTATTTTTTTTTCTTCAAGCCGATTCGCGAAGAAAGATTTCGCCGTTATTAATGCGACGTGTGGCAAAGTTCCGCTGCTCGTGATAATCTTCATCATCATATTCGTCAGCGGCCCCTGGTCTATCCGCTGCTGGATTGAAGGCCTTGCCTCCCAAAGCCGCCGCCACCGTCTCTCCCACGAATCCTACGATGCAATAATCCAGCAGCAGGAGTGTGATTACCACTCTGACATTGTCTCGCCATTAATGCCATCTTATCACCATCGCCACCGCCACAGAAGATCCCCCAATAGCGTTTAACAGACTGTTTGAGCGAGTGCTGTTAGCGAGCACCAAATCCAAAGGTCCCCCGTATAGTCTTAACAAAGCTGTTGGGGCAAGTGCTGTTCGCGAACACCCTTTTGAGGCCGTAACGGCACGTGAGGGAAGTGGGTGGCCAGCACCACGCCCAGCGCCACCACTGTGATCACCACCATCAAACCTAGCGAGCACAATCACCATCTCACCACCACCATTATCTACTGCTGGATGAAAATCTCCCCACCAAGCTGCCACCATCTCTTACGATATTGCGATGTTAATAGTCCACCTCGTAGTGCGCGTTCGTGGAAGAGGAGACCAGGACCGGAATTGAACCCTGGTCTCGACTCAAGTGGCTTGGGTTCACAGTGCAATGCGATGCTAACCACTGTGCCACTGCGCCACTAAAAAAAAATCTAATCACTTAATTTCTTCAGGCCAAACTTTGGTAACAAAATTGACAATGCTTTTTTCATGAGATTGTTTCTTTTTTTGCTCAAATTAAAATCCGTCATAAATGATGCTAGGTTAGATCGCGAAAATATAAATGCGTCGTTTACCAACCGCCACCTGACGTAGCCAATTATTAGGGATTGTCACGTGAACTAAACGTGCAAATTGGTTACTTCAGCACACCGTTTGTGTTGGCGAATAAACCCACATTTGCAATTTGAGTACGACGGTTCGCTGGTCATTACCACCAGCTTCACAACCAGCTGCGGTGGCCAGATGTTATCTCCCTCGCCTGGTATACAGGAGGTCGTGGGTTCGATCTCAATATATTTGGAGTTTGCGTGTTCTCCCCTGTGGTTGCGCGGATTTTTCTCCGGGCCCGCCGGGTTTTCCCTACACATTTAGAAACAACGTCACGCGTTTAGAGTATTTGGCTGCTTATAGATTTTCACGTGATGATAAGCCACTTCGTTGAGCTATCATTTGTGGCCAGGTCGCTTCTGAAAAAAAGCTACATAGCTCAGTGGGGCCTTTAGCTGGTCAGATAACAAAAAAAAGTTACAAGTTTAGCGTTTGAAAAATATCCAATGAACATCCAATTTTCAAATAATTTGAGGTTTTCTGGAGTCACATTACGATGCCCAAGGCTGCGCGCTTCTAAAAGTGCAGAGCGCCGGGGGCCTTTACGATTAGCACGGTTGGCTACGTGCGGCACGAAAGAAGTTCAACAAACGTACGCACATTGTGTAGGAAGGACACGTCGGTGCAGCAATCTCCGACGTCCCTTTTCACCGCGTTTGTCTGTCTCTCCCCTCGCAGCAATTCTAATACAATTTTTCTTCTCGTTTTTAATACAATAACAACAACAAAAAACCCAATCAGGATGTGCAACTTTATTCTCTATTCGGGAGGCAATACAAATCCATTTCCCGTTGATTGTTTGCGTTCCTGCGACCGTGTCGAAGCCCATCGATTCACACGGTTGGCAACGTACGGTGTCAAATAAGGGCAACGTACATAAAACAAAGACAAAGATCCCCCCGCGTGTAGCTTCTAACAGCCTGACGGGGCAAGTGCTGTTAGCGAGCGCCTATGAAGGCTGGCACGGCACACGAGGGGGTGGGTGGCCAGCACCACGCCCGGCCGCCTTTGTCTCCCGAGTGGCGATGTTTACTCCACACCGCACCAAGTACTCGTTTGAGGCTGAGTCGACATACATACAGACACACACGGGCTACGTTTGTTTTACTCAGTGGGAAATCGCTCCTTCTCCTCTGCTGCCCCTTTGTCTAAAACTCCTTTGCCCCCCCCCCGCTTGCCATGCTATTGACGCCCCTTGTGTGTGCGATAGACCGCGTTTAGTTTGCGATTGAGCTTTTAATCACTCGTGAAGCAAGACGCATTTTGTTCAAGCACATTTAAGACGAGTCCAGCATTATTACCGGAGTTCTACGGCACATTTCAGATGAGTCACGACCCAGGGAACGCACGTTTTGTGAAACACGTGGAAACGCTGTGTCTGCTGTCAACCTCTTATATCGCTACTACCATGGTGACTGTTCCCATGAACTCCACCCATTGAATCATCCTTCCACATTGAGAACTCCGATCTACCACACTGACCGTTTTCGTCGCATCATCGACACCAAGGCCGTAGCCATGGAGTCAACATTGGGGGGGACCAAATCTTCCAGGGTGTCTGGGGGTCCCAACCCAGAAAAACATCTAAATTTGAAAACTCATTTCCTGCATAAAATATTAAAAAATTCACTAATACATGGGATGGACTTTTCATTATTTTTTTACAATGTCTAATAGTGTATTGTATTACATTGCTCTGTTTTTACTTTTTTATCATTTCTTGTTTCATTGTATGTAATGACAGAGATTAGGGATTAATAAAGTACCACTATAACCACAATCATATAAACAGGAATGTATGCATTGATTTATATGAAGACAAGTCCAGATATTGTGACCAAGGTTTAGCAAATTGTTGTTTTTATTTACATAGCATAGCAATTATTTTTTTATAGCAATATAGTGTGGGGGACATTTTGAGCATATTTAAATATTGTGGGGGATGTGTGTGTCCCAATATATATTATAATTACGGCCTTGATCCACACTGCGTTCAACCACCACAGGTCAGAACCGCACTCTCACTCACCAACCCACTCACCCACTCACTCACTCATTACAGCGCAGGTCACAACACTCTCACCCACCAACCCACTCACCCACTCACTCACCACACTGCAGGTCACAACAACACTCTCACTCACCAACCCACCAACCCACTCAACCATCAACCCACTCACTCACCACAGCGAAGGTCACAAAAACACTCTCACTCACTCACAAGAGCCACCCACCAACCCACTGACCCACGTACTCACTCACCACACTGCAATGTCACAACACTCTCACCCACCAACCCACCCATGCACTCACTCACCACACTGCAGCCATTCTCTGCACACTTCTCGTCCCGCACCGCTAAATTTTACGAAATCACTTCAACCGTCGACCCCCCCCCTGCCCAAATTCTCACAACAATCTCGCTCGAATTCGCGAAACGTGTCAACTCCCAACTCCAACAGCGCCCTTTGTTGCCATCCGCCCGGCGATTTTTCGGCCCACGCAAACTCGCGGAGCCTCGATTTCGACGCGCAGTTTTTTGTTGTCGTCGTTGTTGTCGTCGTTGTCGTTGTTCACACTACGCTGGGCCGACGCGTTCGCTCGCAGCGGCGTCACGGCGCCGCCGTCGGCCCTTGCCCTCCGCGGGAATTTTCCCGGCCCCCCTCGCCGAGTAGCAGGCGAGCGCGATGAAGACGAATCCCAGGAGCTTGAGGGCTGCCGCCAGGCTGAAGACGGCGCGCGCCAGCGACCCGGTGTCGTACCGCCAGCACGAGCCGGCGAGCCGCCCGCCCCCTCCTCCTCCTCCGCCGCCTCCTCCGCCGTCGCGGCCACCCCAGAGTACGCACGTCGTGTCGATCACGGCGCCAAAGTAGACGGGCATCGGGATGTAGGCTACGGGGAGACGAGGCACGAATACAGGCAGTTTGAATCGGTGGTTGGCATAGGGCCCCCCCCTGTGCACGGAGTTAAATAGCCCCCCCCCCAACCCGTCAACTCACCCAGCCAATCACCCCACGTCTAATCCCCCACCCCCCCCCCCCCCCCCCCCTCTTCATAGGCCGGTGCCTGGAACCTTCCGACCCGTGGCCGGGGTGCAGTTTCACCGCCTGCACACGGGACAGCTAGACCAGCGGCTGGAATTACGAACCCGGGTCTGGGTAGGGCTTCTCCTGGCGATGCGGTGCGTCGAGTCAACATAAATTTCCTGCTCAATTGAGCACGAGGGTGGTGCTTATTTCTTGTTTACCGCCTTGCCGAGCCAGTGGTGGGAGCCAGTGGTGGAAATTCCACGTTCATATGGCAGAAGTGAGACCACAATTCAAAGTGATAACCCCCAACTAGGATTTGAACCAGCGCATTCTGATTGCGCTACGCATCCTGGCTGGTACATAATTATGAGTTTAAAATGTATTATTGTAACGCCAATTGTGATGACGCTGAAACACAAATACACGCATGCACGCACTACGATGCTGTAACAACAACAAAAATCCGGTCCAATTTAACCCCAAATCAAATCCATTATATCAATGCCAACGCAACGTTGTACGTGCAGCGTAAATGTTTCTCTTGTCCTCCCGTCAATCATCCCTCCGCAGTCCTGCGATGGCCACGGTCCACCCCGTTCCTGTGCAGGAGGCCGATTTCATCGCTCCATCTCCACAGCGGAGCTTCCTTTGGCCATGTCCTCGCCTGTGGCTGCAATGTCATCGCGAGTCACGTCCATCGACGATCATCCCTTGCAGCGACGTGGCCCTGCCCAAGTCGCTCGCGTTTCTTCCTCTCCGCCATCTCCTCCGTCAGCTGTTCTCATTCACACCTCCGCCGTGTGTGCACGTGCATGTTGGACTTCTTTCGCACCGTACGTAGCCAACCCAGCTCATCGGAGGTGCGGGGGAAGGACAAACAAACTGAACACAAAAAGCAGTTCTAAAAATAATTAGTTTTCTTTCTTGGATTTAAAGGTGCGTACTTCCAGTGGCTTCGTAATATCGGAAGTCATCTCAATTATCTCTCTGACCTGCAGTGTTCTTCGATTATTTCCCAGTGAAAGAAAAATAAAATAAAATAAACCCCACCCTCTTCAAACTCTTCTGGATGCTCACATATTGCGATGCGGGTTGCGCGTTAGACTCTAATTGCATCGTGATTGTCCGATTATCCTCTCTCTGCACCGGAACCTCATACCCCTGACCTGCTCCGGCACGATAAGAGCCTTTTAAAAACATTCCCTGCTCTCTCCCAAGGTGACGTGCAGCGTGTGAGTGGCCACTCTCCCTTCACCCCGACGTGTTGGGACGCGGTCGCGGTTCGACGCCGTGTAGACACACACACACACGCGGCGTACGGCAGAGAGAGAGAGATGTGACGCGGCTCGAGAATGATTTGTTGGGAGCGATGGTCCAACGAGTTGGGAGCGATTAGCGAGCCACCGGAGCAATGCCACTTTTAAATCATCTGCATTGAAAACTAATTTCTTTTTTTAAATCCTTTATATTAAGTTCGCTTGCTTGCTTACGACCGTGCAAATCTTTCAGTCGTTTTTTAACCCACTTCCCATGATCCAATCGAGCTGACATTTTCCACACAGACTCATTGTGCGTGACAATTAATGTTCGTGAAAATTTTTTTCCTAAATTTTACACTTTTTAGGACAAAAATATTATATTTAATTACCAATTGCTTAATGGTGCAATGCAATCATCTGACCCATAGGTGGCAGCCATCTCAAGCCAGAGGACGAGAGGACTCTAGCCGCCACGCATATAAAGGATTTATAGTGAAAAACTTTATTTTTACGGGTTATATAGTTTAGTTTGTTGTCCTTCCCCGGCACCTCCGATTGGCGCGGTTGGCTACGTACGGCGCGAAAGAAGTTCTACACATGTACAAAATACGAGCTACAGGCGGATCGCTGCTGACGTTGGCGGGAGCTCGAGTGTTTTTGTCGCCCCGCATCCGAGTCGGCGTCCTGGTCACCTCCGCACCCTTGGGCTTTTGTCGCGTCTCTACGGTGCTCTCACCGCGCCTTTGATGTGAATGCGGGTTTGCAATCGTCGGCGTGTTGAGATGCAATTTCCTTGAACGTTGCTGTATAAAATCAAAGCATTGCTTCCATAACAGAGGGTTTTTTTGGGTCAGATCGCGTAAATATATAAATGTGTCGTTAAACCCGCCACCACCCGACGCAGCTAATGAGTAAGGTTTGTCGCGTAAACAGAACGTGGCCAATTCGTCACCAGTACAGCACGCCCGTGTGTTGGAGAGTAAACCCACAATATTTACAATTCGTTTACTCTCCAACACACCGGTGTGCTGTACTAGTAACGAATTGTCATGTGTCATTTACGTAAGAAACCTTATTAATTGGCTGTGTCAGGTGGTGGTGGGTTTAACGACACATTTCTATTTACACGATCTAGCCCAAACACCTTTTATGGACAATATTGGTCTCGAAAGCTGTCGTCTTAAACAGATGCAGGACTTGACAACGATGCTTTGTTTCGAGAGCGAGCCGCGCAAAATAAAAAGACGACACCCATTACCGCGTGCTGCTCTGCCTTATGTAGAGGAGCGCAGAACTTGGGCAATTGTTGGTGCCGGCTAACTGCCTGGCTGCCTTCCCGCTTGCCTGCGGTGCCTAGGCGAGTGTCAGAACGATGACGCTACGAAAAACGAAACTTCGTTTTTACAGCTCGAATTTCTGCTCCGATTCAACAACAACAACAACAGTAACAAAAACAGTTATTCATCTCTCTGCTACGAATAGGGGCCATTGCTCATGACGTTGCCTCTCGAACATTTGCTTCCTTTTAGGGCCACGGCGTCTGTGGCGAGAGGCTGCGCATGCGCCGCACTCGCGGACTCAACTCACCCAGCGCCCGTAGGAGAACGAACTGCATGCCGAGGGCAAAGGGTCTCTCTGGTTCATCGACCGACCTGGAGACAAACAAAGACAAAGATACCCCAAAAACCCTACCATATAGCCTCAGCAGACCTTTGGGACAAGTGGTTCGCGTGCTGCGCTACCGACCCGGCGATACAGAGTTCGATTTCCGCTCATGGCCAACGCAAGTTACAATTATTTGAATTCTAGATTTGAAGCTTTCGTGACTGCAAGGATTCATACTCTTAGGTTTTTTCGGTAAAGTCACGTTGGTAATAATAATAATAAAAGTAAAATAAAAATAAAATAAAAATCACGACGTTTCGGAGGCAACACAAGCTTCTGTCTTCAGGTGGAACCGTCACAGCACGATAGCTGTCTCAAGTAAGACATTTATTCTACTCTTTAGGGTATCGTTATTAAATAGCGCGCTGCCTTTGGTTCACCCCGGCGGTATGAATTGGTAGGCCACGGTTAGAGGAAGAGGAGGAAAAATACCCTCACGATGTCCCCTCTAGAGCTCCCTCTAGTGGAGGCTCCTCATGCAGCAGTGTCGCGAGCAATTGCAGGGGCTGCACCTCTTTACTTAGTTTATTTCAGCAGGGAACTGCACTTGCTTGTTGCTGCTGCTGCTACTGCTGTGTTGAACGAGAGCTCTGCGCCGGATTGACCTGAGCGTGACGACGACGACGGCCGGTTGGGCGCCGGCCGTGACGAGGGTGACGAAGAAGAGGAACGCCAAGAACGGTGCCAGGGTCCGGCATTTGCCGGGGCATCTGCCCGGTGTGACGTAACCAGCGGGCTCGGCATCGTCGCCTTCATCGTCGGAGCTCGTGCGGTCCTCCTCCGTCGGTCGCCCCCTCCTCCCGGCTCGCGCCTCTTCGGACGAGGTGTCGTCGCGGCGAACCGCCGTCACGCACAGGCAAGAAGTGAAATCCAGCTCCTGTCGGAAAGGCGGACGTTCGGAGCGCCGGCGCAAGGTTGTGGCGAAACTTTCAGCGCGAATATTATTCGAGCCTTTTTTATCTCGTACTTTATTCCGGATAGAATATTGCATCCCCTTTCAATGGGAGAAGGAAAAAAAACAATTGGTATGACGTAAGTGTGTTTTGTGCTCGCCATTAAGTGATGTGGCCTTGCGCTATCCGTTATTCACGTTCACTCTGTCAAGCGGGCTGCCTTCCTGTTCAGATTAATGGGGTCAAACATTTCACAAAGGCCAAGAACCCCACTCGGGGAATTTTTTATAAAAGGCGACAAAACGCAATGCCGAATATAACACAGGTATTTGGATACGTAGGCTTCCGCGACCAATATTGTGATTCATAATATGTTTCTTTTTGGGGTTAGTAGACCGTGTAGGTGTGATGTCAATTAGGGCTATAATCCTCCACCACACGACACCACCAAACAAATAAAGTTTTCACGCGAGCAAAATGCGCCCATCGATTCTGTTTTTTTATTATTACACGCTTTTATTTAACTCACTCTGTCTGTTGTTATTGTTGTCGTATCCTCAATTTTAACCCACTTTCCAATGTGGTATCGACTGCAAACTTGGTATACTTATGTCATACTGATGACAATACAATATTCTATCATTAAAACTAAAAAAAATATTTTTAAACAATCTTTTTTATATGTTATGTTTCGGCTTGGGTATAATTGTCCACACTCAACTCACGTTGGCTGTAAATCACCACAGCCCCTTACGTTGTGGCAAGCTTCAGGGCCACTTCATGGAGTCGTGGAGTTCTGCCATTATGAGTACGGTACATTTCATTAAAGCGTGTTTTTAAACAATTGTTTTGAAATATGACTTATTTACAAAACTGGTTACGTTGAAAAGTGATCAACACAAAAATTCCGACAATTTTACACAAAGTTTCGCCGTAGACGATGCCCGGGGGCATCATCAGAGCGACTGAGCTTCCCCGATCGGGAAAAGATTGTGAGAACCGAGACGAAAACCACTGCCTGGACACTCACTGCAGCAAAACGTTACTTTGCACCTTGACCTTCACCTCGAAGTGGGTGACCCCCGTGCGTCTGAACATTCCGCAGCGGTCGCACAAAAGGGATTTACTCTCTCCCCCCACCCCTGCCCGCCCACCACGCGCACCGTGCCGACTCACCTCTGCCGAGCCGCCACCACCACCGCCGCGGGTGATGTCTGCAGTGCACCCAGCCAGGCAGGGGCTGAGGTAGGTGACCCCGTCGGAGCCGCACACGGGCGCGTACTCGTGCGGCTCGCACTCGCCGCGCGCCGCGCCGCACCGCCTCCACGAGCTGCGTGCCGGCACCGAGAAGAAAAATCGGCCACACGCGTGGATTCGGTCACGATCGCAGAACGAGTTTTGCCCTTGCAAGCGTTTGTTATGGGTCGGGCACAAGCCGGCGTGAGTAGGTTAAACGTTGAGTTTTATAAGGGCACCACGGGGTGACCAGCCCCTCCCCACCCAGCCCCACCCCTCCCACCCCCCCACCCAGCCCCACCCTCCCCACCCAGCCCCTCCCCACCCAGCCCCACCCTTCCCTCCCCACCCAGCCCCTCCCTCCCCACCCAGCCCCTCCCTGCACGACGGACACAATAATCCCCTGTGGGCTGGTGTAACCAGGAGGTTCCTACCAGTATGAGCACACTTCATATAAGCGAAGTTCTAATCGAAGCAACACATGGTTGTATTACACTGGCGGGGAGGGAGGCAGAGGGCAACTTCCAATATAAGCACACGACTTCTGATATAAGCACACGACTTCTGATATAAGCACAGCTGGGCTTGCTCCCAAAGGGGCGCGCTCATCCAAGCGCGGTTTCCCGGCTTAGGCCACGTGTTGAGATGCCCAAGGCACGACTGCGTGGGGCATCTTGGGCACGTCGTCTCGCCGGCGTCACACGGAGCGAGATAATCGCCTTGGCTGGCGAGGTGAATCCTTTACAGCGCCGGCAACAGCGCTCCGATTAGCGCGTCCGGCTGCGTGCGGTGCGAAAGAAGTTCAGCATGCGTGCAGCACGTGCAGCAGCGGCGGCATTGTATTGTCTCCGCGAGAGTTGTCGTGCCGTTGTAAGGCAGGCGGACAGACGCGTCTCACGCGCACGCACGCGCACGCACTCGGCTTACGAGCGGCTCGTGGCCGCGCTCGCACACAACCACGCCGGCTCCCGCCGCAGCACCTGCTGGGGTAGCCCCGAGCGTCGACAACTCCGGCGGTCGCGTCCTCCTCGTCGCAGGCGACGGACGACGACGAGGAGGAGGAGGAGGAGGAGAAGAGGAGGAGGAAGGAGAGGAGGGAGAGCGCGCTGCACGCCACGGCGAGCCGCGCCGCTCCGCGCACCCCCAGCCCCAGCCGCTTGATGGCGAAGCCGCCCAGCAGCAGCCCCGCGCCGGCGCCCGGCACGATCACTGCGCCTAACGGGACGGACAACCGGGCACAGGACAGGGTCAGGTGGTGGGGGGGGGGGGGGGCTGCCCCTCCCCTCCCCTGCCCCCCACCCCTACTGAAGGCTCAGCACCCCCACACCAACATTATTTCCAAATTCTACCGTTAACCATGTTGACTGTAATGCTCCACGACAATGCGTGAGACTCTGTCTTCTCGACAGACCTGTTCTTCACCTGAGGACGGCTGCTTGCGTTGTGGCCGAAACGTCGTGAGAATTATTTTATTATGTTTTATTTTTGTTATTTTTTTATTATTTCCATTCTACGTGACTTTACCGAAAGAACCAAGAAGATGAATCCCTGAAGTCACGAAAGCTTTAAATCGAAATTTAATGCGTGATGAGTTTGTGTATATTATTGCTTTTCGCGTTGAACAGGGCCCAGTAGTTTAGTGGGAGTGCTCTTGCCAATAACATGTGGTAACCCTGCAGCAATTGGTACAAAGCTCGCTTGCTTGCTGTTGGATATTGGAAAACCGATGGACTAAGATTCACTATTGTTTATATGTGCAGACACAGAATGGAAGTTTCACTTGCATCCTCAGGAATGAATGAATGAAGAGTGCGTGAAGGTGACACACACAGAGAGAGAGAGAGGGAGGGAGAGAAGGGACGTGGCGCGTGCCTGTGTACACGCTGGCGCGCGAGGCCGGCACGCCGAACTGCGCCTCCAAGAACTTGGGGGTGAAGGTGACGAAGGCGGTGACGATGGCGCACTCGGCCGTGTAGGCCAGGCTGACGAGCAGGAACGTGGGCCGTCGCAGGATCCTCCACGCGGCTCGGGGCAGCTCTGTAGGTTTTTTTTATTTTCCGAGCAGAGTTCATTTCGGTTAAAGGAACGAGCGATGAAAGTCTTCGTCGTCAAACGTACACAAAACATAGCGCGGTGTGGATTTACACTTTTTTAAAAATACAAATTCAACGATGGCCTGAGTTGGATGAGAATCGCCAAGCGTGACGGTTGGCTGTGACTAAAATCTATCGTTGACCCGAGCGCGGCTAGCCGGCGAGGCGCGAGGAACGAGTGTGGATGAAGAGGCGGGCGGAGATGACCTCACGTGACCTTGTTAGGTGACGGCAGTGGACTCGAGAAGATCAGACATGGTGAATGGATATATTTATAGGTGTATAAATAAGACGGACTAAGATAATAGTTTTTTTACCCTTCTATCTGGCAACAAAACTGACACCTTTTTTTACAAGGAGTCATGTTTGCATAGACCACAATACCTGCAGTCATAATGCAAACAAAAAACATAACTCTGATAATATATGCACTGTCCTTGAAGTTGATTGGTCCACACCCGAGACAGCTTTCCTTAGAGCCTAGTCTCACATGGGTTGGACCAGATGACGCCAAAAGGCGCACAACTCAAAGACAATGCACCATCAGAGTATGAGAGCTCGGGGTAAGCATTTACACCATTGGAACCTCATTTGCCAGTAAAAAAATATGTTTTTTGTTTGCATTATGACTGCAGGTATTGTGGTCTATGCTAACATGACTCCTTGTAAAAAAAGGTGTCAGTTTTGTTGCCAGATAGAAGGGTAAAAAACCAATTATCATATTTTTTACTGGCAAATGAGGTTCCAATGGTGTAAAGACGGACTAAGTTCACGTATTGGGTGAGCTAATAATATTGGAGGGGATAAAAATTTGCACCCCTCACCCTAACATTTAATAAGCAAGAGTGGACAAACATTTGAACTGTTTTAGGAAATTAATCTAAGAGAACGACTTAATGAAATCCACGGACTAAGACTTTGACGACGTGAACTAATTCGTCAATAACACTGCGGTCTTAAAGGAAAAATACATAATGGCCGACGTTTCGAGCAATGGCCCTTCCTCATAGCACACGTGAATATAAAGGAGACAAATTCTCAACGTAACATTTAAATTAGGGGTATAACAATCCACCAATTGCATCACCAAAAACACTCAAGTTGCTGCAATTTAAGACCACAATATGATGGAGTTCAGTCTATATATAAAAAATGTTTTGTAATTGACGGTGAATCATAGTGACTCCATGAGATGCAACACGTGTGGGAGACGTCACACGAACCCAATACAGACAACAAACACTCAGTCGATGCATCATGCATCGCGATCTCGGTTGTCAACATTAATGGATGATATCATCAACATTGGTCCATCACCCCCACAACTCCGATTAGCACAGTTGGCTACGATACGGAGCAAAAGGAGTTCAAAACGCATATGTACAACTGATGCATTGTTCCAGCTCTCGTAAAACAAAACAGATAGCAAAATATTACTTACAAAAGGTGTGTTAAATTTCGATTTAAAGCTTTCGTGACTGCAGGGATTCATCTTCTTGGTTCTTTCGGTAAAGTCACGTAGAAGGGAAATAATAAAATAATAAAAATAAAACATAATAAAATAATTCTTACGACGTTTCGCGTTGTGGCCGAAACGTCGTGAGAATTGTTTTATTATGTTTAATTTTTATTATTTTATTATTTCCCTTCTACGTGACTTTACCGAAAGAACCAAGAAGAAAAAAGGTGTGTTCTTTTCTCTACTACATTGCAATAGCTGCAATGTGTGGATGAAGCAGCAAGCCTAGCGTACACCAAGGCATGACGAGCCATCGGTGATGCGGCCATCGAGTGTGCAGGTGGTGAAACTGCACTGGGCCCTCGCGCCGGATGGGTCCAGGCACCGGGTTATAAAGAAGGAGGAGCAGGTAAACATGGCATGTTGCGTCAACGTCGGGCCAACGTTGGTCCAACGGTTCCACGTTTACCGGGGAGAAATTGTACTCGGGGGGGGGTGGGGGTGGTCCCGTTTCATTCCCTAGGCCGGGGGCCCCATGCCAACCACATCGTGGCAACCATATTGTGGCAACCCCATCATGGCAACATCACTGGCAACCATATCGTGGCAACCATATCGTGACAACCAGATCGTAGAAACCATAATTGTAGCAACCACATCATGGCAACCACATCGTGGCAACCATATTGTGGCAGACCACATCTGGCAACCATATTGTGGCAACTACATCATGGCAGACCACATCATGGCAACATCATAGCAACCATAATTGTGGCAACCACATCGTGGCAACCACATCGTTCAGCAAGCATCCCGTCTACCTCTGATATCCCTGCCGAAGGTGATGGCCGTTGTGACGGGGACACTTTTGTCCCCCCTCGGCTGAAGCGAGGATTCTTCTTCTTCGACCACCGCAGCAGCAGCAGCAGAAGCAGCAGCAGCAGCAGCGTCCTTCTGCTCCGTGACAGCGGCGGTCACGTGGACGGACGGCTTCCGTCGTCCTAGCATCTTCTTGGGGAAGGTGAAGAGAGGCAACGCCACTCCGAGGAGAGCCACGGCGCACAGGACGAAGCCGCCCCACCTGCACGCGGCAGAGAGACGGTGGAGGTTGCGCCTCGACCCCAGGCGGACGCCCCCCCGGTCAGCACCACGGGTGTGAAACAAATAATGGAGCGCCGTCTGCTTCAGGGCGGACGTTAAAGACCGCACGGTGCCGTGAGAAAAAAATAAAGGGGGCGGCCGCGTGCGCCAGCTTCGCGGTACAATTGTCAAAAGTTGCTCGCAAATTACAGAATTGGTTAAATCCGGAAAACATCATCACCCCACCCCCCCACCCCCAATAACCGTGAAACTACCGCAGACATCACTCACCTGCGATTACCTGAACTGAGTGGCTGATTAAACACGATTATTATGCACGGGTGTGACTTGTCCTCCGGAGTGCGAGTGTCCATACGCCCAACAATCCGCTACTCCGAGCACAGCCTGGTGGCATTCGGGAAAATAACGAGCGGGGGAAGAAAAAAAAACACCGAAGCACCCGTTCCGGGCTGGGGGCACCACCGTCGCCCACCAGTTTCCGATGAACGTCGGGTCCCCCGGCGGCACAGGAGACGACTCCCCCGGGTGGGTGTACGTGCCGAGGAGCAGTCCTCCCAGCAGGTAGCCGGCGGCTGGACCCAGCGCGCCCGCCACGTACAGGGTGGCTACGGACAAAGACAAAGTAACGGGCTGTCGGGGCGAGTGGCTTTTCGTGAGTGGCACCTACGAAAGCCGGCACGGCACATCAGAGGAGTGGGTGGACAGCACCATGCCCGGGCTGCCCTTTGGCTCCCTCGTGGCGATGATTACTACACACCGCACCGGGTAGTCATTTGAGGCTGAGTCGACCTTAAGGGCAGGCCCAGGACCGGTTCAGATAATCGTCACCAGGTGTTGGCCGTGAACGGGTATCGAGCCCGGAGTCGCCGGGTTCACAATGCGACGCGCTACACAAACATGCACGCACACGTACGGACGAGCTGATGACTCTCTTGATTTCAGTATTCTCCGCTGTTCCTGAGTGAGGCTGCAGCGTTGTCACGGTGAGGATTTATAAAATTCACGGCTGAATTGAGCAGCTTGAAGAAAGCAAAGACAACGATTCGTGCCCGTCTCAGTGTCGGCACTGCCCCGCGCGTGAGTCGCTGCCAATACAGATGTGACGTACGGGATTTTTTAAAGGAAATAAAATAAAATAATTCTAGATTTGTTCTAGATTTGTAGTTTCGTGACTGCAAGGATCCATACTCTTTGTTTTTTCGGTAAAGTCACGTAGGTGAAAACAAACCAAAATAAAATAAAACTAAATTAAATCACGAAGTTTCGGAAGCAACACAAGCATCCGTCATCAGGTGTGACCGCTCCAGCAAAATAACTGTAGCGTATGAAGAGAGCTATTTAGAGACACGTGTTTATATAGAGTACTAGGGGGGGGGGGGGGAGGAGCCAAGGGGTCGAGTGGGGGGGGCATGCGGCAGGCCGTGTAGCGTCGCGGGCGGTTGGGCAGGGGATTAGCATGAATTAAGCCGATAGATAACCATATTTTTTCTTTGTGATGCCAGGGGAGGGTGTGTGGGTACTGTGACTGTACGAGGAAAGTGGTGGGGGGCGGGGGAGTAGGATGGGGGGACAATTTTTTGCGCGATTGAAACACTTGTACATCAAAATGTCCTAGTGATGGTGGTGTATCAGGCTGGGAGTAAAAGACTGGAAATATGGATATGGCTGTAAAATTATAAGGCAGCTAAAATAAAATAAACCGTGTTTAATCATGTCAGCAGCAATTTCCAATATTGAACGTTGGACTTCATTCAAATTCACAATTTCCGTGGCCGCCGTAACTACCCTGACCACCGTACCAAATGGAGGCCTCATGAATGACTGTCCCCCTCTATAAAGTCCCTTCTCGTATTAACATTGAAAACTCATTTCTTTAGAGCCGAATTTGTGTTTCGTTTGTTGCCCCCCCTCCACACCTCCGATTAGTGCGGTTTGCTCCGTGCGATGCGAAAGAATTTCAACAAACGGTACATTCGTCCTGACTCATGAAATCACCTCTTCTCGTCTGCAAATGACGATTTTTCTCTCTCTGTCTCGATCAAGGGCCCCCATTCAGACTTCTATCATTACGCCATCTCCACTCTCCCTGCCGTGCAAGTATTCTACCGCTCATTTCTTATTCTTTGGGTCTGAAAGGTAAAGTCACGCAGATAGGTTGAAAGAAAATAACAAAAAACTACGACGTTTCGATCACAACACAAGCGATCGTCATCAGGAGGAAAAGAAAACCCCATTTAAATGCCAAACACCCCCAACCCACGTATTTTTCAAACTCCCACAATGGACACATGCCCTGCCTCCCTCTTTGTACAGCGCCTTGAGATGCTGCCACATGCAGACACTTTATACATCCAAATTATACAGTATTGTCATAGTATTGTTGTTGTCCTCTCTGCCCTGTAGCCTCATGCCCCTGACCTTTCTCCCTTTGATAATAGCCTTTAAAAACACAATTTCCCATCCCCTATCCCAAGGTTACCTGTGCATGTTGCTCCCAATGTATACAACATATTGGGAGGAGGTGAAAATAAATGTTCTTTATCAACCCCACATCGCATTGTGTAGAGGTGATGCGAGGAAGGGTGAGTGCCGAGTACGGTGGACCGCAGAAGCTCGTGGCAACTGTGTACGTGTATAATTGTTTTTTTACCCTTCTATCTGGCAACAAAACTGACACCTTTTTTTACAAGAAGTCATGTTTGCATAGACCACAATACCTGCAGCCATAATGCAAACAAAAAAACATGACTCTAATAATATATGCACTGTCCTTGAAGTTGATTGGTCCACACCCGAGACAGATTTCCTTAGAGCATAGTCTCTCATGGGTTGGACCAGATGACGCCAAAAGGCGCACAACTCAAAGACAATGCACCATCAGAGTATGAGAGCTCGGGGTAAGCATTTGCACCATTGGAACCTCATTTGCCAGTAAAAAATATGATAATTGGTTTTTTACCCTTCTATCTGGCAACAAAACTGACACTTTTTTTTACAAGGAGTCATGTTTGCATAGACCACAATACTTGCATCCATAATGCAAACAAAAAACATAACTCTGATAATATATGCACTGCCCTTGAAGTTCAACTTCAAGGACAAAACCTCACTCATTGTCACCAGTGACCATATTCACAAGAGTAGAAGATACTCAGGTAAATAAGACGCACACTAAACGTGTGCCCGTGTCAATGAAGTTAGACAAAGCTGGTCTCACGCACACCTAATGGCTTACAAGACGCACCCTCAACTGTTGCTTTAAAATAGAGGAGCGCGTCTTTTAATCCGGAAATTGCAGTAGTGCAGTATTTCTGCCTTTCAATGCCAGGTTCACTTATTTCGTGTCCATCAAACCAAATTTATATCAACGACGAGCATGCGCGCTTGAGTGTTGTCACACCGAGGTAGACAGGCGTGGAGGGGTGGGCCAATTTTAGGCCATTCCATTTGATGGAGGGTTCCTGCTCCGTGCCCGTCATTCTTTGGTCTTCCTCGGAGTGAGTTGGTGGGTTTGTTAAAGTTACCGTCAGGGATATTTCAATATAAAAAAGTGAAAGTCCTTGCCTTGGGTGGGCTGCCACACAGAGATCGCCTGAGTACACGAAACTTCGGGTGTCCGAGTGGATTGACTCATCATCGGTGTTGCTGTGAAAGAGTGATGGTGCACGCACTCTGCTTTGTGTAAGAACAATTCATGTTGGTACCAACGACTTTCAATTTCAGTTCTACCGGAGAATCGTGAGTTCTCAAGTAGCGCACAGACGGGATGCCGCGGTGGCGAGCTGTTAACTCCCTCTCCCGGTGTGCAGGAGGTCGTGGGTTCGATCCAGACCCTGATGCCTGCTGTATATTTGCAGTTTGCATGTTCTCCCTGTGGCCTGCGTGGATTTTTTTCTTCAGGTCCTCCGGTTCTTTCGCTCCACATTTAGAAACATGCCTTTAGAGTATTTGGATGCTATAAATTTCCACGTGATAAGCTACTTCGTTGAGCTATTATTTGCGGCCAGATCGCTTCTAAAAAAGAGCTAAACATATTGGTCAGTGGGCCTTACCTGGTAAATTTAAAAAATCGTTTCGAGTTCGATGAGGTTTTGAGTCACCCCTAGCGACTTTGGAGAGTAGCCGCCAATGAATGACGCCGTTGGCTGGTCCATGATTTTACCTTGGGTTGAAATCCCAGTTGTGCCCGGATATCAGCCTCTCATTAACGTGTGATAACAAGACGGTTATAAATTAGCCTTTCGTACAAACAAGAGCGTGCCTGTTAATCCAGGGAAATACGTTTTGAGGAACGCACTGGATAAATGCATCCCACTTGTTTTGGAATGTATTTCAAGTCGTGTTCATGTTTTTGTTTGTTGCGGTTGCACCCGAGTCAACAGCCGCATGGCTCACAGGGCTAGTACTTAATCAATGGACAATGAAATGTGTTGGGACAGGGTTGTTGTTTGACCATACTTCACCACCGATGGCCAGTGGTGAAAGTGGTGGGAAACAATTATCATGAGCTCTGGATTATAAAACGCTCTTAAGAGAATGATGCCTGGTGTCAATAAAGTTACACACGCGCATCTACTGGTTTAAAAGAAACACCGCTTTCACATTTGCTTTAGATACAGGGTCGGCCAAAAGTCAGGACACGTAGGGTTATTTTAACACTGCCATTAAAACATTTTATCATTTGTTCTTACAGTGAATATTCTAATTAAAACGTATGCTTTTTCTTTTTCAAATGCAATTTAAAAAGTTATAAGAAAATTTACTTAACACTAACGAGTTCACATCGTGCCAGATGTATGCTAAAGAAGGCAGCTGTAAAAAAAAAAAGTTATAAATTAATTTCAAAACAGAATGCAGGCATGGATTCATACCAATGGAAGTCAGTTTTAACATTTGTCAAAATAAATATAATAACCCTGTGCGTCCTGATTTGTGAGCCACCGTGTCTAATACAGAAGGGGAAGAGGCACGACTTACGATCGGGTCCACGACCACAACACAGGAGCCATTCACTTCAACAATGTGACCCTGCTGCCCCCTGTTGGTTGAGTGCAAGAAAAGCCACTTTGTGTTTACACCGCCAATCCACATTGATACACCGATAAACCAATACCTACATCGATATACCAATACCCACATTGATACACCGATAAACCAATACCTACATCGATATACCAATACCCACATTGATACACCGATAAACCAATACCTACATCGATATACCAATACCCACATTGATACACCGATAAACCAATACCTACATCGATATACCAATACCCACATTGATACACCGATAAACCAATACCTACATCGATATACCAATACCCACATTGATACACCGATAAACCAATACCTACATCGATATACCAATACCCACATTGATACACCGATAAAGCAATACCTACATCGATATACCAATACCCACATTGATACACCGATAAACCAATACCTACATCGATATACCAATACCCACATTGATACATCGATATACCAATACTTCGTTGTTGTTAGAGGGCGACTGCCTCCAACTGACCACTAGCAAGCGTCCTTCACGAGCCTCCTTCATAGAGGCCGATCTTAACACTGCTGGCACCGGTCTTGGTTAAGTTCAATAATACATAAACATGTCCTTACACACACCCTAAAGTGAATTACATACTTGCTTAAAAATTCAGTTATTGATCAAACTCTACGTACTTTTTACACACGTGGCGTCCCTGTGATTAATATAACAGCACGACGAGTTGGTTTGTGGAAACCTTAAAAACGAAAATTTAAAATAAAATATTTGCGTAGTCGGCAGGATTCGAACCTGCGCGGGGAGACCCCAATGGATTTCTAGTCCATCGCCTTAACCGCTCGGCCACGACTACAGGCGAAGTAAGCGGGTACGGGAAGGCTATTTGGCCAACGCCATCCCATGCCATGCACGATTCACTGTTGGATTAAAACTTTGTTTATTCTTCTTTTAAGCTTAACGCGTGTCCGTGTGCACACAAGATCGATTTCTTGGGAATATCCCACAATATGGTGATTACTGTACGTGGCTAATCAAACGTCACCAAGCGCCCCTTCAAAACACCAGCCACTCACCAATTCACGTAACCTCACCCACTCACTCAGCAACTCAGCCAAACTCACCACTCATGTAGCCCACTCACCCACTCACTCAGCCAAACTCACCAACTCGTGTAGCCCACTCACCCACTCACTCAGCAACTCAGCCAAACTCACCACTCATGTAGCCCACTCACCCACTCACTCAGCAACTCAGCCAAACTCACCAACTCGTGTAGCCCACTCACCCACTCACTCAGCAACTCAGCCAAACTCACCACTCATGTAGCCCACTCACCCACTCATTCAGCAACTCAGCCAAACTCACCACTCATGTAGCCCACTCACCCACTCACTCAGCAACTCAGCCAAACTCACCACTCATGTAGCCCACTCACCCACTCACTCAGCAACTCAGCCAAACTCACCACTCATGTAGCCCACTCAGCACTCACCCACTCACCCATTCACTCAGCCAAACTCACCACTCATGTAGCCCACTCACCCACTCACCCATTCACTCAGCCAAACTCACCACTCATGTAGCCCACTCACCCACTCACCCAGTCACTCAGCCAAACTCACCACTCATGTAGCCCACTCACCCACTCACTCAGCAACTCAGCCAAACTCACCAGCTCATGTAGCCCACTCACCCATTCACTCAGAAACTCAGCCAAACTCACCACTCATGTAGCCCACTCACCCACTCACCCACTCACTCAGCCAAACTCACCACTCATGTAGCCCACTCACCCACTCACTCAGCCAAACTCACCACTCATGTAGCCCACTCACCCTTCACTCAGCAACTCAGCCAAACTCACCACTCATGTAGCCCACTCACCCTTCACTCAGCAACTCAGCTAAACTCACCACTCATGTAGCCCACTCACCCACTCACTCAGCAACTCAGCCAAACTCACCACTCATGTAGCCCACTCACCCACTCACTCAGCAACTCAGCCAAACTCACCACTCATGTAGCCCACTCACCCACTCACTCAGCCAAACTCACCACTCATGTAGCCCACTCACCCACTCACTCAGCAACTCAGCCAAACTCACCACTCATGTAGCCCACTCACCCATTCACTCGGCAACTCAGCCAAACTCACCACTCATGTAGCCCACTTACCCACTCACTCAGCAACTCAGCCAAACTCACCACTCATGTAGCCCACTCACCCACTCACTCAGCCAAACTCACCACTCATGTAGCCCACTCACCCACTCACTCAGCAACTCAGCCAAACTCACCACTCATGTAGCCCACTCACCCATTCACTCGGCAACTCAGCCAAACTCACCACTCATGTAGCCCACTCACCCACTCACTCAGCAACTCAGCCAAACTCACCACTCATGTAGCCCACTCACCCATTCACTCAGCAACTCAACCAAACTCACCACTCATGTAGCCCACTCACCCATTCACTCAGCAACTCAGCCAAACTCACCACTCATGTAGCCCACTCACCCATTCACTCGGCAACTCAGCCAAACTCACCACTCATGTAGCCCACTCACCCACTCACTCAGCAACTCAGCCAAACTCACCAGCTAATGTAGCCCACTCACCCACTCACTCAGCAACTCAGCCAAACTCACCAGCTAATGTAGCCCACTCACCCATTCACTCAGCAACTCAGCCAAACTCACCAGCTAATGTAGCCCACTCACCCATTCACTCAGCAACTCAGCTAAACTCACCAGCTAATGTAGCCCACTCACCCATTCACTCAGCAACTCAGCCAAACTCACCACTCATGTAGCCCACTCACCCACTCACTCAGCAACTCAGCCAAACTCACCAGCTCATGTCGCCCACTCACCCATTCACTCAGCAACTCAGCCAAACTCACCAGCTCATGTCGCCCACTCACCCATTCACTCAGCAACTCAGCCAAACTCACCAGCTAATGTAGCCCACTCACCCACTCACTCAGCAACTCAGCCAAACTCACCAGCTCATGTCGCCCACTCACCCATTCACTCAGCAACTCAGCCAAACTCACCAGCTAATGTAGCCCACTCACCCACTCACTCAGCAACTCAGCCAAACTCACCACTCATGTAGCCCACTCACCCACTCACTCAGCAACTCAGCCAAACTCACCAGCTCATGTCGCCCACTCACCCATTCACTCAGCAACTCAGCCAAACTCACCAGCTAATGTAGCCCACTCACCCACTCACTCAGCAACTCAGCCAAACTCACCACTCATGTAGCCCACTCACCCACTCACTCAGCAACTCAGCCAAACTCACCAGCTCATGTCGCCCACTCACCCATTCACTCAGCAACTCAGCCAAACTCACCACTCATGTAGCCCACTCACCCACTCACTCAGCAACTCAGCCAAACTCACCAGCTCATGTCGCCCACTCACCCACTCACTCAGCAACTCAGCCAAACTCACCACTCATGTAGCCCACTCACCCATTCACTCAGCAACTCAGCCAAACTCACCACTCATGTAGCCCACTCACCCATTCACTCAGCAACTCAGCCAAACTCACCAGCTCATGTCGCCCACTCACCCACTCACTCAGCAACTCAGCCAAACTCACCACTCATGTCGCCCACTCACCCATTCACTCAGCAACTCAGCCAAACTCACCACTCATGTAGCCCACTCACCCACTCACTCAGCAACTCAGCCAAACTCACCAGCTAATGTAGCCCACTCACCCACTCACTCAGCAACTCAGCCAAACTCACCAGCTAATGTAGCCCACTCACCCACTCACTCAGCAACTCAGCCAAACTCACCAGCTAATGTAGCCCACTCACCCACTCACTCAGCAACTCAGCCAAACTCACCAGCTCATGTCGCCCACTCACCCATTCACTCAGCAACTCAGCCAAACTCACCAGCTAATGTAGCCCACTCACCCACTCACTCAGCAACTCAGCCAAACTCACCAGCTAATGTAGCCCACTCACCCACTCACTCAGCAACTCAGCCAAACTCACCAGCTAATGTAGCCCACTCACCCATTCACTCAGCAACTCAGCCAAACTCACCAGCTAATGTAGCCCACTCACCCACTCACTCAGCAACTCAGCCAAACTCACCAGCTCATGTCGCCCACTCACCCATTCACTCAGCAACTCAGCCAAACTCACCAGCTAATGTAGCCCACTCACCCACTCACTCAGCAACTCAGCCAAACTCACCAGCTAATGTAGCCCACTCACCCACTCACTCAGCAACTCAGCCAAACTCACCAGCTAATGTAGCCCACTCACCCACTCACTCAGCAACTCAGCCAAACTCACCAGCTCATGTCGCCCACTCACCCATTCACTCAGCAACTCAGCCAAACTCACCAGCTCACGTAGCCCACTCACCCATTCACTCAGAAACTCAGCCAAACTCACCAGCTGACACAAGCCGTACCTATCAGCCGACAATAAACTCACCTGCTCATCATCTTTCATATCCTCCTCGGCCTCTCATCACCAACCCACAGCCAAACACCGTGACAGTAAACTAGTTAAAACTATTTCTTTCATTTTACCAGGTAAGGCCCACTGATCACGTGGTGCTCTTTTTCAGAAGTGACGTGGCCATCACAAATGACAGCTCAACCAAGTGGCTTATCACGTGGACATTTACAGCAGCCAAAACCCCTTAAACGCGTGTGTCTAAAGCTGGAGGGAAACATCGGAGGAGCCGGAGAAAAATCCACACGACCACGAGGGAGAGCGAGGACATGAAAACTCCAAATGTACAACAGGCGTCACGGTGGGAATACGAACCCACGATGCCCTGTACACCAGACGAGGTAATCCACATCTCGCCACCGTGACACCACGGGACACTCACCCAGGTACAAGGCCGAGCTGCTGGGCTCCACGTTGTCGTCCAGATAGGTGGCGCCCAGTGTGTAGATCGGCGTGGAGCCAATACCGACCAGCAGCTGTGCCACCACGAACAGGGCCAGCGGCAATCCCCTCTGCTGACTGCCTCCGTCTTCTTCCTCGGCCCCTGCCTCATCCTCCTCGCAGTCGGGCCCTGACCCCTCATCTAGCCCGGGCATTGGAGCTTGCTCCATCTCGCCCCCTGGTCCCTCACCCAACACGGCCTCTGGTCGGTCATTCAAACTGGCCCCGGGCCATTGTTCAAGGCCTGCTTGTGATGTCTTCTCGCCAAGCCTGGCTTCTGGCTCACCATCCAGCACAGCCTTTGGTTTCTCGCCCAGTCCAGCCTTTGGCCGCCCATCCAGCCATGACCTCTCACCCAGCAAGGTCTGTGGTCCTTCATCCAGTGTGAGCTGTGGTCTTTGGTCCTGCCCGGTCCATGACCTCCGATCCAGCCCAACTCCAGTTCCTTCATCCACCCGGAGCTCTGGCCGATGTGCCAGCGCGGTCCTAGGTCTCCCATCAAGATCGGGCCCTAAACCTCGGTCCAGCAAGGCGCTTGGCCCATTACTGAACCTTGAATGTGGCCTCTGTTCCTGCGCAGTCCACGATCTCTGACCCAGCCCAACTTCTGGTCTCTCATCGAGCCCAGGCCTGGGCCCTTGGTCCTCGAGCTCCAAGCCTCCCGTCTCGGCCAGCCTGAACGCGCACAACCGTTGTCGGTCCAGACTCGGCCGGCCTAAGCGGCCCCGCGGTGAGGGTGGAGGCGCGTGGCCGCCCGGCCCCGTGGTGGCGCGGAGTCACGAAGTGTGGCAGGGCGAACACCAGGGCCCCCAGGGCCACCAGCAGCCCGCCGGCGCCGAGCCAACGCGGCCTCCTGCCTCTGCCGCCGCGGTAGCTCACGAAGACCACCACGGCGAGGCTGCCCAGGTCGAAGCAGCTGACGAGGAGACCGGACTCGGAGCTGCGCAGGCTGAAGCGCCTCTCCACCGTGGTGAGGACGCTGCTCAGGTAGCCGCTCACCATGAGCGCCTGGATGAAGGTTAGGCAGCCGAGCCAGAAGAGGAAGCGGAGGGGCTCCGACGGGGAACACCGCCTGCACGGAGCGCAACGGGATCCAGCGAGGCTCTCCTTCGTGGACCCGAATTCAGAGATGTCCACCACCTCCTGTTGCTGCTGCTGCTGCTGTTGCGAGCCATGGTCCGGAGTCCAACCGGTCGACTCGGAGTGTGTGGCTTCACTTGAGTTTACAGATCCTTCCAGAGGTCTCCCTGACGTCCACCAAGTCACCCATTCAAACCGCGGCTCTCTCGTGTGGATCTAAATCCCACCGCCACAGGCTGGTATTTGTCCCGCTGTTATTACAGTATGAGGATGATAGGTTAATTTTACGTAATGCAGTCCAAAAAGACTGAATTCAATAATAATAAAGTACAACGGTTGGTCAGTCCGCTACTGGATAAAGGCCTACACACGCCGTGTGGGTCACAGAACTTGTTTGACCGTACTTCACCGCGCTGGTCAATGCGAGTTGGCGAAGTAGCCGGTGGGCCCAAGACCGGTTCAGGTATCGCTCACTACTAATGCCAGCCTTGACCCGGAATCAAACTCAGGGCGCTGGGTTCAGAGCCCACTGCATCACCGCGGTCGCCAACGCTTCACCTTATGGCGGTGGCCTACTGTCAAATTGAATAATAATATACAAAATAACTTTAGCGAGAATTAACACCGAATATATCCCGACGGCAGTTGACTACTAAGACACCCATTTTTATTAAAGTGTCCTTTGCCACTCACTTAACCAATAAACAAGATAGATAATTGGCACAATGTGGTTTTCCGCTTGCAAAACTCGACTTGTATCTCCCAGAGCGGGTGAGATATTGAATACCACACGACCGCAGAGCGAGTCAAAGTAAATAATATGACTTTCAATCGCGTTCTCGCAAAGCACGCGGTCACGCCAATGCATGTTTAAATGCCCTTAATCGTCCCGCAGCAGCCACTTTGAGTGACGCGTAAACAACCCAATTATCCGACTCCAACCAGGTACACATTATACACTCAACGGAGACACTTTACTCTGAGAGAATGCAGTTCTCTTCCCACGCACGTTGTTGCATCGGCTCGACTCGTGTCACGAATCATTATTTGACGCGACACGAAACAAGCAACCTTACGCGTTTGCGGTGGACGGAAATTAATTTGACGCCTTAACGTCAACGTTTGAGAGGCGGCTTTAACAAGCAGTGGATTCACCGTGGCTGATGATGACGTCGACAAAACCTTTGCACGTGATGATGTAGTTGCAAGGCGCATTTCATCCGTACGTCCCAATGCGCCACCGTGTATTGAAAGCAGGTAACGAACAGAACCTGCTGGGACCGTCACAGCTAGATTATTGTATCTTGATACAGTAAATCTGGCTGTGACGGTCCCACCTGATGGCGGAGACTTGTGTTGCCTCCGAAACGTCGTGATTTATTATTTTATTTTTATTATTACTTTTATTAATTTTACCTACGTGACTTTACCGAAAAAACCTAAGAGTATGTATGAATCCTTGCAGTCACGAAAGCTTCAAATCTAGAAAGAACCTGCTGGGTAAACAGTCAAGAGCTCAGGGGCAGAGGCCAGATTTCAGAGCCGAGTTTTCAAGACGGACTTCAACATACCGAACGATTCTGATTGTAGTAATAGGTTTTTACCCTTTCAACTGGTACAAAACCAGATGATGTCATCTGGTACAACACCAATGGAGACGAGGCTCTAAGAAAAGCTGTCTCGGGTGTCGACCAACCAACTTCAAGGACAGTGCATATCATTATCATCATCAGAGTTGTTTCTTTTCGTTTGCATTTTGACTGCTTGTGTTGTGGTTATTGCAAACATGATGCCTTGTATAAAGGTGTCAGTTTTTGTACCAGTTGAAAGGGTAAAAACCTATGACTATATTTTGCCACTGGTAAAGGAGGTCTCAGAGTGATTCTGATTGTCTTATGCAGCAAAGACAAAGCGTTGTTCCATAGTCTGGGATCTACAGTGGAACAAAAGCCTTGACCTCGGAGTCCTTCGAAGAAGATCTCAGGGACCTCGTTGGAGTATAACGATGGATCAGTTCCTATCAATATTGCAAGGGGATAACGCACCGAGTGCGTTGTCGATCGCGTCGACGCAGTTAAAACGTCGACATAAAATGACCGCGCGGAGGCGGCTATTGCACGTGACCTGTAGTCCAGCGCCGTGAAGGCAGCGGCGAGGGTTGATGGATCATTGCACTGACGGTGTGGAGCTCCCTTCCCGCGGGCGTCCAGGGGATTGCTGGACCCCGACTCGCCAGGAGAATGCGGTACAGCAAGGTACAGACTTATAATCTGTCCCTTCTGTGTGGGATAGAGTGTTTCACCCTCGCACCGTGGAGTTTCTCCGGGTGTTCCGGTTTCCTCCCACGTGTATAACCAAGGCCGTAGCCATGGAATCAACATTGGGGGGGGGGGGGGGAATCTTCCAGGGGGTCTGGGGGTCCCCCCCTCCCAGAAAAAAAATCTCGATTTGAAAACGAATTTCCTGCCATTTCTTGGCTAAAATATTTAAACTCACTAATTCATAGGATGTAATTTTTTTTTTTTTTACAATGTCTAATAGTGTATTGTATTACATTGCTTTTTTATCTTTTCTTGTTTAATTGTATGTAATGGCAGAGATTAGGGATTAATAAAGTACAACCATAGCCACAATCATATAACATAAATCTATTTTATAGCAATATATAGCAATATATATCATATATATCATAATTACGGCCTTGGTATAAACACTCATCGATTACAAACGCTCACCAATATTATTAATCGGCTGAAAACATCTTAATATACAGACAACCGCAAAGCTTTGGCAATTGGCGCAGGCTCACCACCTGTCTGCCTTCCAGGTTGCCTGCGGCCCCTGAACGATTATGATGTCATTTGCATGAATGACGCCATAAAAATAACTTAACATTACATTGGCGACGTTTCAGGCAATAGCCCTTCATAACACATCACGAAGAGAGGGCCATTGACCCAAAACGTCCCCTATTATATATTTTTTGCATTTCAAGACCACAGTGCTATGGACAAACGTGCCGAGTCGTTAGTTATTTGTGCTCGTGCACCACTGCCAACGCAGCAGCAGCAGCAAGTGATGTGTGATGATAGCCGTTAGCCAATCCACTGCTGGATGAAGGCCTCTCTACGCAATACTTCACCATCGCGCTGGTCAGCGTTTGCTTTGGTTGAAGGATTGAATGTGAAGTGAAATTCGAACCGGGTTGCCTAGGCAATGGTACATATCCCGGGTGTTTTTTTTATTCTCTCTTCTTCAGAGCGCCGAATTTACTAATGTAGCAATTAAACACCAATTTAATTTGTTGACGTCACTGCTTGAATCAATGCCAGCCTGGGAGCGCGCCTGGCTGGGCTGTGGCGAGGTGGTACCCTTCATGGCTGGCCGGTGCAGGTAATGGCCTCTTTAATTGGCTTAATTGATTAAAGGGTACACATTACCGCGGGGTTGAGCCATTAGCCACGGGCCAAGCTGATGGAAGGACAGCCACGTGACCCTGCACGCGGCCTTCTCCGCCTCCTCGCCAATTGGCGAAGCGAGTCAGCCCAAACTCGTTTCGGTAACACGCCGAGTCAAGTGTGCTCAATTGCGAAAACAATAAAGCAATTATTGGCGAGTTTAACTCTCCCGGGATGATCGTCACGGTGCAATGGGCGGCATTCTCACGCATGGACTTTGACCCGCCCGTCCTGGACAATGTGGACAAAAAAGAGCTTCTCAGCTCATCGGATTCCTCCAGTCTGAATTACGATTCTGATGAGAGGCGTCGTCGGTTCTGTTCAACCTCCCGGCGTGGCAGTTGAAACAAAAGGCAATGCTTTGTTTAATTACGAGCTTTACTACCCGGCTTCGCCCGGGACTTGGATTCACCATGATGTTCACACACCACAGCAGTTAGTTGCTTGAGGCTGAGTCGACCTAGGGGAGGCCCAGGACCGGTTGAAATAATCGTCACCGGTGGTGGCCGTGAGCGGGAATCGAACTCGGGTCGCCGGGTTCGTAGCGCAGCGTAGCGCTACCCACTACACTACAATGCATTACGCTTCCACGTGCGCGGGTCACATGACAGATGTGACGTCACAACTCACTTGCCGTACAAAGCAAATTTCCAGTGTGTTGCATGTCGGGAAGTACACTAAACATTTTGAACAGACACACGTAATCACAACTTTGCCTTATATTTATGTAGATGAATGAATCTACTCAGAGCCGGCCCAGCCACTAAGCGACCCTTGCAATTGCAACGGGCCCCGTGGCCAGCAGAGGGCCCCCTAGAGTCACTGCGAGCTCGTGGGTGAAAAAAATCATACATCAAAGGTGCCTCTAACCAAATTTTTCTTAGGGCCCCCAAAAGTCTAGGGCCGGTTCTGAATCTACTATTATTCATCCCTTAGCCCACTCAGCGGTGTAACCTGTGCACCCACGGTTAGTTCGACCGGCCAAGCCGCGCGTGGTGGGCTAAAGTGTGGGTACTCCGTCAGCGAGAGAGCAAGAGAAGGCCTAATTTCCTCCAGGTGGGTCTTTAATGAGCTGCCCTCAAGTGAAAGCCTTTCCGTCAGCAGCAACGTGAGTCATTTAAGGGCTGCACCCTTTGTATCTGTAACTCACTTGCTACCTCGGCACGGATTTGATTTTTAAATCCTTTATAAAGTTCACTTTCTTGCTTGCTTGCGCGCTTACGACCGTGCACATCTTTCGGTCGTTTTTTAACCCACTTCCCGTGATCCAATCGAGCTGACATTTTGCACACAGACTCGTTGTGCGTGACAATTTATTTTCGTGAAATTTTTTTCTCCAAAATTTTCCACTTTTTAGGAAATTTTTTTCATATTTTATTGAAAATACCAATGTGATAAAAATGAAACTCTTACTCAAGAAAAACAGAAATGAATAATAACATAAAACCGATGCCACGCATATAAAGGATTAATAGTGAAAAACTTTGTTTTTACGGGTAAATTTTTTACTTGGTGAGCCCATTAGGCTGAAAGTTACCGTGAATGGGGAGTATTGCCCGTCTCGTATGTATGTATGTATGTTGAACGTATACTCTTTGGTTCTTGCGGTCACCTACGTGACTTCACCAAAAGAACCAAAGAGTATGTGGATCCCTGCAGTGAAGAAAACTTCAAAACTATGTTGAAATTCTTTCTCACCGTACGTAACCAGCCGTGCTAATCGGAGGTGCCGGGGAAGGATAACAAACGGAACGCAACACGCAGTTCGAAAGCAATTAGTTGATTTCGAGTCTGCAACACTCCAGACCACGGATGCGGCGGGAGGGGGGGGGGGAGTTCAGGGCCTACGGGTTGGAACGTGACCATCAGCCAACAAGATCAACCCACTGCTGGACGATGAAAGACCTCCCCCACGCGATTTCTGCGATGTCGACGCATCACGCGGCACCCGCGAGCGAGTCGATTGAATCGCTCCATCCCTCTCGACGGCCGTTGCTGCTTGACCGCGTTCAATTCCTTGGTTGACATTCCGTCTCGATTATTTACCATGGGGGGGGGGGGCAATGCATCATCAACC